GAAGTGATAAATAGAGTTATTAGACACTAATTCGCTTTAAGGCGCTAATCAATCGTCTTAGTAGGGAAAAGTTTATTTGCGTGAAACGCGTCATCGGCACTGAGTAATTTCCACAATGAAATTCAGTTGCTCCGCCTACTGCAAAAGGTTTCATTCTACTTTACCATTACCCTCGTGATTCCTCCGTCAGCGATGGCCGAAACGAAAGCGCTCAACGAAGTTTTTTTACTATCTCCGCGATAACGAGTATCCGATCGATTTTCGAAAGATCAGAAAAGAATTTACGTAAGAAAGTTCAAAAATCCTCTCTTGAAGATGGTGCGCTGTTTTTTCAATGGCCAGAAGAACGGTCAGCCTAAAAGATGGGTTCACAGCCGAGACGAGCAGCAGCAGATACTGAAAGCTCGTCACTCTGACAAACTCGGCGGGCACTTTGGCCGTGACAGGACGAGAGAAAAGGTTTGTACTAAATTCAGTGATGCTTCTCTTGATCTTTAAAATTGTGGTTACAATATAAATTTATCGTTCTTAACTGTTGTGTACCTGTTTATCTTCCAGGATACATCTCTATACTATTGGGCTCGATTGCTGGAGGACTACAATGAAATTGTCAAGCGTTACGTTGTTTGCTAGAGAACTTCAAAGAAATTCGAAAAGCCTTCTGCCCAGCTACACCCGATTAAAGTAAAGGACACTGTGGCATCGTATCAGTATCGATCTGGTAGGACCTCCGATGGCTCCTGATTCACTTTAAATAAAAAAAATGGATAATATCGCTCCTGCGTGCCTGTATATACTCGTATGTCAACTCGTATGTAGCTGTAGATGATCGTATGTCACTCGTATGTAGCCATATGTAGCCGTATGACACTAGTATATAGCCGTAAGTCACTCGTATGTTACTCGTGGTGCTCGTGTGATGTTTTATTACTCACGATGAGTATGCAATATTGATTTGTCCTGGTGTTATATCGTCATCTCTCTCTCCGGGTAAGCTGGTAATTGATTTAAACTATAATGTCTACAGAACATAAAAATATATATTTTCAAAGCAGAACTTTCGAAATTTCAAGCTTCCATGATAAGTGAAAACTTTCCCAAAAAAAGTACCTGAGTGAAGCTAACCTGCTAACATTAAAGGAACTTTGGCACCATGTTGAACTTTATATCTATCTTTATATCATTTTTGATCCAAATCAAGATCCTTAAACATACCAACTATTTTTTGAACTCTAGGCAATTAGTTGGTTGACGGCTCGATATGAGACCAGTTTTGAAATCAGCATCTCGTTAGTTTGGTTTTCTATGTTAGTTATCGAGTTATACTTATACGTAAAAAATCTATATATTGAACAGCGTCATACCCCACCCACATCAGCGGATGTTTAATCCGCCTTGTTCTATTCCTATCTCCTCTGTACACATGCCACTTAGGTGAGGCTTAAATCAGTTCGGGTGCGTACGGCCCGTCAGAAACATTAGTCAAGTTATATTTTTTTAATCGAAGATCGTTTTTGGTAAGGCTGGTCGACTGATTTGCTTCGTAAAATCTTTAGCTTTTTTTTAATTGTTTTGTTTTGTTTTTCAGTTCTTTTGTATCAGATCAGAAGACAATTTATAACCATGAAAACGCTGGCCTTTTCACTTTTACATCTGTCAACTGACTTCTTCCTCACTAAAGGACATCAATTACAGATTTTTACTGTCCATTTAATCGGCTTTTCAATTGTATTTCATACAGTTCTCTGATTTCCTTAACTATTGAAAAAAGGTCGTAACGGGCCTCATCCGTATTAAAACTGTGACTTCTACGTGTGTAACCTTTTTAAAGACAGCGTCATGATAAAAAAAAGTCTGGCTTTCAAGGAAGTTCTGTCGAAGCGGCTTAGTGCATAGAAGAAGGGTCATTTGTTTTTGACATTAAACCAAAGCAGGTTGAGATTGTAACTTCATTCTTGGGAAAACAAGCACTAAGACGAGATTAAAAACATTCAGATGAAATACACGATGGTGTATGGAGAACATATTATTGCATTCAATTTAAGGTTAATTGAACGGATCAACTACGCGTATATGACCTGCGATAAATAGTCATCCAAATTTTTGTATTACTCATTTTCTAATTAAAAAAATTATTATTTCTGTAACAAAAATTGTTGTTTGGAGTTATAATTATAAACCGTCAGTTAGACAATATAATTGTCATGTTCCTTCTTTGAGTTAATTATTCACATCTCACTAGCTATTTTCAGGTGTCCATTTGTTTTCGTACGGTGTTTGTCAGCTTTCTCCAATTACAAATCGAACGACAGGTTTGAATTCTGACACCATCTATCGGTTTACATCAGTTCTATTCTAAGTTTACTAGAACATCCGTTATACATCTCACTCAAGCCGAAGACGAGAACCTTTCAACTAAGTTACGGACATAGCTTTTTGTAATTGATGTTCATTACTCAGTCAAGGCATCAGATGCATCTAAAGCAATAAATTTGAAAATTTCGATTTAAAGTTTGAACTTCTTACTTTCTATCCTATGTGCTGGTATCACTGAAAACTTTGTTAATTAATATGGGTCAAGTTTAGTTCTGGGCCTCCGTCTCCTGTTACCTGACGTAAAATCTAAACAAGTTATAGCGTAATTGACAACATGGTACGCCCCCGTTTTGGTGCCTGTTAAAGTTTGTTTCAGTATTCGTACATGCACTCGAGCCCAGCCCATACTGCGCGGGATTGTTTGCTGATTTTACACCCACGTGGTTTTTTTATAGAAGTAAGTAAATAGCGTAGAAGACGCTGCTAACGATGGAAGTGTTAACCAACAATCGACGAAACAGCAAACAGAGAAAATATAAAACTTTTACATTAGCATCCTAAAAGTTTTCTATTTAGAAAATTTCCTTATCCTTTACTTAGTAGTTTGATTAAGATTTGAGCGACAATTTTTAACATCACTTTCCAAGTGATTCAAAGGAAAACCTTCCCGTACATTTTTAAAATTTCTGCAGTCAACCTCACCAAAATTTCCACATTTTGTTTTAATAGCTGATACCAATAAACTTTTTTGAGCAATTTTTAAAACTATTTTGGCGGTATGTTGGTTCTACATTTCTCGGAGTTCATTTCTTGTGTGCTTCGTTGAATAACAATTTAGTACATTACGAGCATATCATCCCATCTCACCCAAGCAGCGTGTCCAATAAGGAAATAAAAAGTAAAATGCAGTTAAAAATAGGATAAAACTGATTAAACTTCCTTTCGTGTGAGTGGGTGGGGCCAAGAGTATGCTTCACCCTACATGACACGAGCTCTGGAATTTAATGAGCGCAAAAAGGTATAAAAATCGTTCCCAACCTCGCCAAAATTGACTTGAAACTCCCGAGCATAAAAGAACTTGGAAATCACGGCCTTGTGAGTTAAAGGTAAGAAGAGTCATAGCTTTACAGTGCATTGATACAGTGCCAATTTAAATATCATCTACGGTTCCCATTGTAAAATGTCCACTGTCGTTTGGTGGCGTTCTTTTTCAATCTACTCGACTCCATTTAGCCCTGCCGGCGTTTTCTGAATCGCGGCTGTATTCAAGCAGCATTAACACGCCAAGAGCGGAAAGAGAACACTTAGAAAGCTAGCAGTTGTTTTTATATTTTTTTAGAGGATTGGGAAGCTCCTCAACTCCCTTTTTTCAATCGCTTTTCTGAACCGTTCAACTATGAAGTGCTTAGCTCTTCATCGTACAACCAACCTAAAAACACGTTTGGTAACGAAAAAAGAAACTACCATCCTTTACTGCTAACAGTGTTATTCACTGACCCCAAATCTTGTAAACGTAAGATACCAACAAATATTTTAACTTAGCAAGTGTAGTCAGGCTTTTCGATGCTTCTACAACGTAACTTGGGTTTGTAATTATTTCTGGATAATCAGGACTCTAAAGAAAACACATTACAGAAGACAAGCGGAAAACAAGTTAGATCTTCGAGTGGAAACTACAATGGCTGTTGTTAGAGAAGTAAGGAAATACAATCATGGTTTAAAAACATAAAGTTTTAAAAGCTTTCTCTTGGACCTAAAGGGCCAGTCATTTAAACAAAGTTTAGCCGTTTCGTGACAAAACCGCGTTCTAAACTAACTTGAATTTAGCTGAGTCTTCCATCTGAACATTTATTGTTGCGATCAATGTCAAGAGGACCGAAAGCTAGCAGTACAAGGACATTAATGAAAACAACCCTCTTATAGAGGATAAGAAGGCTCACTGCTTGCGTAAAACCGCGGTTTGGGTTAGTCCTCGTGTAAATGAACGACCCATCATTTTCTTCTTTTTGATTAAAAAATTAGGATAAAATATTTTGAAGAGGCCGAATTTCATTTAAACCATGAAACAGTTTGGCTTCTCTCCGAAATTTTTGAGAGTGATGTGATTTTTAAAAGCCACCAGTTTAATTATGGTTACGTATTGCATTTAATGTTCAGATACTCTTACCCATGGCCATAATATTGGGCTCCCTCGCCTTGGCTTCTCCCAAACCTGTCTTTAATAAAGAGGAAGACGAACAGCCATTCCAACATCAATTGTTTTTGTCGCAAAATGATGTCCTTGAACCCCAGGAGCGCATCATCGATGATCACGTCTGGGGTGATGAGATCGACGAATTGGTGAAGTATAGAATTGCACATAACCGTACGGCTAGAAATGCCCATGGCTGCGTTTCAAAAAGAGTAACAAAGTTTGATAAATGTAGAAACAAAATGGTGGCGAGGGTCATCTGTCGTTCAATACATCCGGTATGTAACCACGTGATCCCTAAGCACTTTCGACCAAAGTGTGAACCAGTAATGGGCTTCTGGGAAGCCAGTTTCATTACCAAGTGTCCCCCTCTTACAATTGAATGCCAATGTGCCAGTTAATTAAGGAACTATTACACCTTGAAGTGACCATGAACTGATAATATGCGTTATAAAACAGTTATTAGAATTGAATGAATATTAACAAGCTGGTCTTGTAAAAAACATCTGGTATGTTTCTTTAGAAATTAATGAATTGTGAAAAATAAAGTGAGCTAAACTTCAGCCAGTAAATTGTTTTGACTGATTCATTATAAAATAGGCTCTGGGAAAATTAACTCTTATCGTACCGATTATTAGCCCTAGAAATTTTTTTCATCTGAACTCAATTTTTTTCACTTTGTAACCTTGGTCTTCACAAGGGTTTACAATCGTTTTCGTGAACAGGTTTGATGTTATGAATGCCTTAGGCTGTTAGAACTTTAGAATTTTGAAGAAAAGTGAATAAAAACTGTAATGTAAAGGAAAGAAGAGTTTGGTACGCTGTTCCCGTAATAAACTACTAGAAAAGGTAACCATAGACCTCATTACCATTCCAAGGATAAGATTACAAAGAAAATAAAATTTTTGCAGAAGTCAACTGTGTAAGTTTCCTTGATTATTCTGTAGCTTCAGCGTTATTTCGCGGTAAATATTCCAATAATATTCAACTAAGGTTACGGTAGCTTTAAATTTGTGGCACAAGACGAGCTGAAACGAGACAGACTTGGACAGCGGAGAACCACTCTGGTAATATCTGCATCGCCGGGCTGGTTATCCTGTGGTTTTGCAATGTAGCACAATGAAGGTAACAACATCACACCAACAGCAGTAGCAACACATTCCGTAACATCCTCCATGTTTATTGGCAAAATTATTAGTCCCTCATCTGGATTCACAGCCATGAAAATTTCTTCGTTTCGATTAACTTGGATTAATAGCAAATGCTCCGTCTTTCGCACTTCACACCAGCCTTGCTTATTTCCAAGTCTGAAAAATTTGATCTGGACAATGTTTCGCTCTTCATCCAGGGACTGTTCGTTGGCTTGCCTCGTTCCCATGCAGACTGCCCAGTCCACTTGTCCTCTAATTAACAGGGCTGTCTCGCTGTCCGACATGCTCCTGGTGATACATTTGGATGGGTCTTCTAATGGTTCCAAAGAGCTGGGAAATACATTGTTATCGATCATTTGAGCTGAGGCAACGGTATTTCCATCACCATCAACGACTTCTAATACCATGACTCCGGCTTGCTCGGCGTTCAAAACACGGCATGTGAATGCACCATTTCCACTATAGGTGTACACTCGATAAACTGATAGTTCGCAAGGCACCCTCTGTTTCGTGAGTATTTCACGCCTAAGTACCGTTCTGGGAGTTGAAACTACATCTGCAGGGTGCAAAAATTTCGCAGACTCTGGTTCTGGACTAAGAGTAAATCTGTAACTCAGTGGTTTGGGTAAGCCACATGTCTTAATGGTAATGTATGCTTTTCTATTAGCAGGACCAAACAGTGGGATGGGTATTCGGAATATGTTCTCTTCTGACTCCATTCTGATGGCAGTTTGTAAACAGTCAGTTAAGTCCACAGTATGGCACAGCTTTGGAGTCTTGGAAAACAACTTCTTTTGATGGAAGGAAAGAGTGATGCTGGTTTTATCATCCGTATTAACGACAAATTGAGCAAGTGGTTGGTGATCTCCCTCAAGGATGTGACTGCCACCTTTTAACTTCTTTTTCCAAATAGCTGTTTCATTATCAAGCTGAAGCGCGAAGGAAAATTTTTTGTCATTTTCAAAGTTTTCTATCTCAAACTTCGAAAGTTCCATTGCAAACTCAAACACTGCCAAATTATGAAGAATTGCCTTGGTTTGAAATAGAAGAGGCGGGGGACACTCACCGCGAAAGATGGCTCCAGGTCTTTTAAAAGCCATGTCGTACTTGTTCCATGTTGCTTCAGTGTCACTTTCAAGCGACAGGTGTTTGGAAATTTCCAAAGCACCAATTTTTGTTTGGGGATGTTTAAGGACATATCCAAGGAATTTCCTCGTGTCTGCTTTATATATTGAAGGGTGAAGAAGGTGCGTTTTCCAGATGAGATCAACATCACAACATGGCACCAAATTACTGTCCGGATTCTCCTTCGTCAGGATCAAATGCTGCTTGTAACGTCGCAAGGAGGACATGAGAAAGAATGAGTCTCTATAATGAGGAAGACAGGTGTTGTGGTATAGGTTTCGTAGACGACAACAAGCCTCTTGTAAATCGCACTGGAGGTTGCAAATGTACTTTGGAACGGAGCTGGGAAGCTGTTCTAGATCCACTTCGAAAGGTTCTGTAGGGTAAGCTTTCTCCCAAAGTGTTCGTGCTCTAAATAGGGCTTCTTCTCTCTCAAATTCGGTGCTTATTCGATGATCGACTTCTCTGGAAACAATGTTTCTGCAGTCCTCTTCATAAACATCCCCATTCAAAATGTGCGTTTGCCACACCCATTCTACATCTAGTGGAGCCTGGAGTTCTCTTCCATTGACGTTGGCGCTCTTGAACAGGGGTAGCCATAACATCTCATACCTTCTTATAGCGTTTTTGAAAAGTGAACCTTCAAATAGGTTTGGATAATGGTCTACAACCCTCAGAAACTGGAGTTCATTCAGAACTGCATCCACAAAGTCGATCTGGGAGGAAAGATCCACTTCACATGTACTAAGGCTCATTTTCCTGCGGTAAGTTTACGAAGACATAGGATGAGTTACAAGACAAGCGACAGATAACGTCGAGACTAGATGTCTTTCCATTTACAGAAACGTAGAGTAACGCATTCATTTACACAAACGTTTTGGACCATATTATCTTCTTATTTTTTAGTGCCATGATTAGAGGACTACGCAATATCATTTTGCTGCCTTCCAAAGCAGGCCTGCTTTCAAAGAAATACTCTTAGGATTCTCTGAAAGTACGGCCTCCCCCAGCTTGGGCCATTGCTCAAGACGCTGGACATGAGATTGGCTGTCACGCAAGTTTTGACTGAACAAAACCTCGTTATACCAAAGGAACCTTGTGTATTTCCAAATATGGAACAAAATGATTAATATTCCCATGACATATAATAAACCCATGTTAGATAGAGCTATTGTATAAATGTAAAGAATTCTAAAGCGCAAGTTGCTCTTGAAAGAAGGTCAAAATGTTAGGCATTTGTGAACCTTGATCATATTCCAATGAAATGAACAATTCCTAATTATTATCACTCGCTTCTATCGTCAACTACCGTCCTTGGTAGCTCTAGAACAAAGACAAAATATCGAAGACATTTTTTCTACAAAAAACGGTCGAAATTGTTTTATTTGCACTTATCCAAAGTGTAGAATTTGTCTCGGGAAGCTGTCATGTCCCAACATGTCAGGTCGGATAGGTTTCAAGAAGAAATACTGGTTATTTGACTGCACGGTTATATGTATCAGATCACTGTCAGCACTTTCCTTTCACAAATTACCCAAACAATACTGTGGATGGGCTTACCTTGAAATACTCAGGAAAAGTACGACAAACACTGATGAGCGCTTTGGTTTGAATTTTAAGAACCTTATCATTCCTCTTCGTTCATCGCCGGAAATCTGAGAAGCTAATATTTAACGCAAAAGTCACGCAAGGACGCGAATGTTGAAATCCCTTCTCTCCCTTCTGTTTCTCCTTGCGGAGGGAGGGAGGGCACGGCTACACGTATGCTATGCAAACCATCGCCTTTAAATTAATCCCTGTGAGCGAAGCGCGATTGTGTTACATAGCGCCATATGTGCATATTTACACTACCCACTCCCCCATTGCAGCAAAATTGTCACTCCCATAATTTTCTCGATCAGTTACGAGCTTTTCCGCCTCCCTTCGGCCAAAGTCCCTCAGTACTACCAATTACTCAGGACTTTTGTTTGGAAAGTTGACCCGGAACAATGGGTTTTTTTGCGGGATAACTCTCGCAGCCTGCCTTTTTCATCACCTTGTAACTTGTTTCATTCCTGAAGTGTAAGCATGCAGAGGATTCAAGGACAACCTCACCAACTTCTCGAAGCAACAATTCCAAGGATAATTAAAGATGGTAGGGCAGGAATCGGCCGAAGTAAATATGACCAAAAATCTACTGCCTCACTGCCATGGTATATTATTTTTTATTCGCGGTAAACAATAACAAATCAAGTAATAAACGATAATAACTATGATGGAAGTCCTAGCATAAAGCCAAGATCACTAAAGTGACGCAATTTGTGGCCAGGCTAAGATTGTCTCCTTTTTCCGCCTTCCCTTTGAGCTTCATTCGCAAATTCTTCCAAGAAAAGGAAGGACATCCATTAGCTCTATCAATAATTCAGATTCATAGGATTCTAAGAAAAAAATTTCCAGGGAAAGTTGGCGTTTGCGGCTAAAACAATCAATTTTTAAATGAAGAAGTTATCATTCCAAGATATGGGCCAAGAATGGCACATGTTCAACCCCATGACAAGAAGAATGATAACATCATGAGATTTCGATTGAAGCTTTAAAAATTACTTATTTATTTTTAAACAACAAAATCGTACTGAATATAAAGACTGCACCAATTTAGTCTCGGCACAGGTTAAATATTATTAAAGGCATGTTTTTGCCATTACATTTGTATAAAAATATTTTCTTACAAGGACAACGAAATTTTTTGATCACCTAAGTTCACAATTCAACAGGTCTTACTATCCTAATGCCGGAAGCCAGCTGTTCTGGGCGTCTCTTCCGCGCCACATCCCACCTGGCACGCATGCTCTACTCTTTTAGATTTGCTTTTATCTTTATAACCTTTAATTCATTTTAAAATACATATATTGTGAAAATTAGTCAGTTGTGAACAGAATTAAGGTGCATCTCCAAGATAAAGAAATCGATAATTCATGACAGGTTGGACAACAAACAGAATAACTCACGCATTTCCAAATTTGCCTCTCGATAATTTTATATATATTTGATGCATATGAGACTCAAATAGTGAACTTGAACCTGTTCTTGGCTAAACTGCACAATACCCTGCCACTCATTTACATGTCATTGAATAGCGTCTACTGTGTTGAGCCTCGTTCTCGAAAGCCTCACAACACATCTAAATGAGGTGGACCAAAGTGGCAAGGTATTCTGCAGTTACTCCCTGTTCTTGCTAAACTGAGAAAGAGTGGAGCCCCTAACGCAAACCTAAATGTTACTTTCCAATGAATTTCACTACCTTAAACATCAAATCGTTGGTAAGAATGAGATCCCCGTTACATTGGAGTTTAACTGTAATCTGTGTTTAAATGAAATCTACGAAAACCTTTGACCCTTTCCCTTAAATGGATTTCCCAATTTACAAAACTTATTCAACTGATCTCTTCGATTCATTTTCTTCCCTGGAAACCCATTCAAGCAGGCAGCTTCACCAAAATCCGCATGGGGATCATAAACAGCAGGGCACCAACGAAGTAACACCAAAAGGGCCCCACACTCCAGTAGACTAAAAAACACAATACAGGAAACCAATTGTACCTAAAAATTGAATGATAAATACAATACAAAAACAAACCAGGGAACAAATTGACCTAAAAAAAAAGAAAAAGTGAAGGTGCAATTACATACCTGTACAACTCACAAAGGGGCCAATGGCTCGAGCAAATGCTCCAAGAGACCTGAATATCCCCATGATTTTTCCTTTTTGGTCAGCATTACCTTGAAATAGATTTCAAATTTTGTCAAACACCAACACTAATATCAGTTAACAATGAAATCAAAGCACTGGAAGGAGGGAAATTTTTCCTCACCATGATGGGAAATCATGGTTGTCAAACATGGTACCACTGTTGCCGAACCTGAAAAAAGATGAAGAAAACTACCTTATACTTCCTCTGAAATTCGTATGAATGACTTTGCAGATACAGTCAGATAATGAAGTGGGACAATGGAAAGAACTGATTTATTATCATTGTGATGGCCACAGGACATCCATCCAGGAGATAAGTTAAATAGACTAAAATTAACCAGTAGTGAGGTAAAATGTTACTGACATAAATATATACTTATTATATCTTTTTGTGATGCTCAGTTTTCCTCCTGGAACCAAGTTGGAATTATATGAGGACCACAACATTAATAAAAATTAAAAAGAACATACCAAATGCAAACAGTGTGAGCCCCATGTAAAGTGTAGTGATGGTCTTTGCCAAACCAACAATGACCATTGCGGGCATGATGGCTGCCATACCCTGCATGTCAACAAACAAACATAAAAGGAGAAGAGCAAATCACTATTACCATGATTGTATGTATAACTTGTGTATGTTGACTTAGAGAACCATAAGTACCATCAGATTTATATTGAGCTCAAGGCATTCTAGACTGGTTAACAAATTTATTTCATTGAAAGTGAAAGTGCAACTCTCCTTTCTAACAAAATTATATTTATTTCATTGTAACAGTGGAAGCAGACTATTTCCCTCATTAACAAATATATTTCATTGTGAAACTGAAAGCAGACAATTTCTCTCACTAACAAATTTATTTCCTTGTTACAGTGGAAGCAGGCTATTTCCCTCAATAACAAATATATTTCATTGTGAAACTGAAAGCAGGCAATTTCCCTAACTGTTTGCCAGGCATAGCTTTACCTTAAGAGCTGTTTTCTTTTCTGTACCTGGGGTTTGTCTGCGGACATAACCACCTAATTACAGAAAAATAATGAACATAAAAAGAGTGAGCAAATGTCACTTAGTGACAGTGATCTATAAATGAACTGGTTCAAACAATTTTTAAGGGACTTAGTAATTCCTCTTCTGTCAACTATTAAACTGTATCATTCAGATTCCATTTCAAAGAACATTCATACATGAAGTGAGCAATCTACAGAAATGTTTATTAAGTTCACAAGAATAAGTAATTGCTAAGCTCATTTTTTGAGTTCACAGCAATTCTAAGACCAATCAAAATGCATATCTGACATACATTGTATCATGGTGAAGATTAAATGAGACTAGTGCTTTATACAACTAACAATGTAATATGTATTACACTAGTATCCATTAAGGATAACAGTAACATACAGTATCTTGTGTGTTCTGTTTTGCATACCTTGAACAAGTGCCATAGTAATTCCTATGAAGAAAAACATCATCCCCTGTTGCATACTGTAAAAGCAGATCAACATGATTTAAAATTTCCATCCCATGTACATCAAAATGGTAAACCTTTTTTTTAAAAAATAACATAATCTAAAAAAATAAAAGTTCCACAGACATCATGGAGTACTCATGAGTACTCCTGAAATGTTTTTCTTAAGAGTTAATAAAAATTATTACTGAGAACCAAGGTAGTTTCCTTAAATCTCATAAGACTTTACGAGAAACAAAACCATGCCCAAATTGTTCATTTTTCTTTCTAGTTGGGATTGTATCTTTCCAATTTTATGCAAGATATATATTCAATAATATTCAACACTTTCTCAGTTTCTATCACATACCTTGAATACTTGAAATTCTTGTGTGTTAAAAATGTTAATGTGAATTCAAGTCCAGAGAAGAAAAAGAGGAACAGAAAATACACCAGACCAAGGCCACGAACTGTGTTTAAATCTATAATAGAAACAATGTCTCAGCTGTTTACTATTAAGAGGGACCTAACTTAGCTGAACTAAGATCAATGACTTCCTGTTTGTTTAACTGCTGATTAGAGATGAAGATTGAAGGAGCATCTGCTCATTAATGCATATGAAGGCCTCTGTGATCTCAGTGCTTATCTGTGCTTCCAAGCATGATATTAAATATAGTTGATGCCAAGAAATAAATAACAAAACACACTTATCAAAGGGAAATATTTTAGAAACTTAAAACAAACTCACTGAATTCAAGTCATCTCCATACAGTACTTTCACAATTTTCTCACAGAGTTTACATGAGCCATTCCTTGCTTGTACATGTACCTCAGTATGTTCAGAAATCACCTCAACACAAGTTGCCAATATTATATATACAATTAATTTTTGTGCAGCCAAGTTGAAGTTTATGGTTAGTAAGTTAAAAGGTGTGAGATCATTATACAGTTAAAGGTAGCTTTCCATCCTGTGGCTCCTCTTTATTATTTCCTTTAGATTTATGCTTGATAACTTTTCGTTGTAGTGTTATTTACCTTCCTTACTGGATTGTATATCTACAGCATCAAACTTTAGCAATGATACAGGGTTGATAAGGTGATTGGCATTTCTAAATTCAGAAACCAAAGACTTAGCCTGTGGAATAAAAATGCATGAAACAGATTTACAGATTTATATATATATATATATAAATATATATATACATACATACATATAAAATTTTAGATCAGATTATTAAAGATTATCAAAACTAACTGGGAACTTAAGTTTGAAATTTAACTTAAAATTGAAATATATATCTTTCACGTTCTTCCTGTACAGCCTAAGTATTACTGACCTTGAAACTTGGCATATGTATCATTCCCAATACCTTCTTTCTTTTAATCAATAGAATCAATTACACCTAAATCATAAGTTTTTCCACTGTTTTGAAACTCTATTTTTTGTTACTTTTAAAATGGAAAGGTAAAAAACTTTATGAAATGCATCACCCTTTTCTCTTTAGGAAGAGATTCCCTGAGGCACACATAGACAAACATCAAATCTGCTACTGTCAAAGTGATGGCAAACAGAGCTGGTAACAGATATGGGTTTCCACTTTCGAGAGATGACCTCTTAGCAAAAACAGCTCCAACAACTGGTCCAATAATGAATCCAAAGGAATATGCAATCCCCACAAGAGCCTGTTAGTTACACAAAGCTTTGTCAATACATGTATTTATGAAGTATATATATCTAACTGTATTAATTTCTGGCAGGGAAAGAGAGTGGGGGCATCAGTAGGACTGACAGGTAGAATTCAGAGGAAAAATTATGACAAGCAAATAAAAGTTAGATATAAACATTGTCAGTTTACATTATCCTTTCTGACTCTCCCTTGATACCCTCAGTTAAACTTTTTGCAATCATAAAATGAGAACATTTTTTGATCTGTGTATATACTTTTCACACTTAAGAAAAAAATTAATGAGACAAATTAGAAAAACATTCTCCAACCACATTCCCTGCTTCTTATCTTCAGCAATCTTAACATCCCAGAAAAAATATTTTTGTAATACTCTTAACAAGGTAAATTACATTTTTCAGTTTAGAACACATCTTGACTATGTGTACACATATGTACATGTAGATAACAATGTTTGATGCTTAAATGAATGAAATATAAAATCGCTTTTCAGTGTCCCAAAAATGCTTCCAACCTCTAAATCACTAACAATAATAGGTTTGCAGCTTTTCCAGCAAACCTCAATCCTATGTATTCAAAACTATGTTGTAAAACTGAATGTAAAGACAAATTATTGTTAACTAAAAGCTAGTCATTTATCCATCATTTTAAAATAAGTCAAATAAGTTTCAGCTATTTCTCAAGTCTAAGAAAAATGAAATCATGATAAAATGTCACAACTTTCTGCAAGATTTTCCATGATGTAATTATTATTACCCTCATAAATGGAAAAAGGAACAACCTACCATTCCCTTGCCTCTATTTTTCACAGTGGTTACATCAGTAATAATAGCTGTTGAAATTGTCACATTCCCTTTACACAAACCGCCGATGATCCTGGCTATCACAAAGATGGTGAAGTTCCATGAACATGCCCATACAGCATATGAAACCAATACTCCCACCTGAAATAATTAGACATGATACTTTTTAAAATGTGTTACAGTCAACTACTGTGCATAGGATATTGTATCATGAAAAGAAAGAAATACTTTATAAGCATGTTCATCTTAAAGGCATAGAATATCAATTTTTTACCAACATCCTTAATAACTTTTAAACCTTGTGGCATACTGAAGCCACAGCTAATGTTGAGTGTCAAAAGTTGTCAATCAAACGCAGGTAATTTTTGCATGAAGCATGCAGTGTGAGTCACTTTAAAATACAATTTCATGCTTGCCTTGATCCACAACAAAATCCATATTAAGAAAAAAGTTTCTAAAATTTTCCTTTTCAGTAGCAGGGGGTGGGGAAGGGAATGGGGGATTGTTTACCATACAATAAATAGACAATGCATGTCTGAGAACTGACCTGAAAGACAATTCTTCCCAATCAATTAAACAAATGTATTCTTCAAAAGGGGTTAGATTGAGCAATCCTTATCGCATTTAGCACTAAATTCAGGGAGGAAATGTAAAGAGCAATCCAAAAGAAACAAAAAAGGGACATACAAGGATAGAAAAATTTGGAAAATTCATCATCTTGTGTCTTTCCCATAATAAATTAAACACTTAGGATTCAAGTTCAGCTTAACAATTTAATTTTCCACTAAAACCTTTCTATTTTAAGGAAGGCAAAGGGTTTGCTCACCATACAAAGCATAAGTAGCAGTCTCCTTCCAAAAAAATCTGACATTGCACCAATCAAAGGACAACAGATAAACTGAAGAAGAGAAAACAGTGATCCAAGGAAACCTACAAAAATAAAATAAAAGTTCCCCAAGCTAAGCTTAAATAAATATAGCCGATTATGACATTTATAAAAATTAAGAAGCAATGTAACACCCTACAGAAAATTTTCATGAAACATTTTTTAACTCTTTAGTCTCCAAGGGTGACTGACTTCTAATTTCTCTTTGCAGAATTACCCTTGAATCATAAGTAAAGGTCATGAGAATGAAGGAAATGATCCCTGACTTAAAAAACTCCTGATTCTCTAACACATCCTCCATGTCCGTATCATAGGAAGAGTAAGGAGAGCACTTTGAAGAATATGAATGTAGTCTTTGAAAAAATTTATGAGTGCTTATATACACCAAATTGCACTCAAAATCATGTTGTTACTTGTGAATAAATTACAAGAAAAAAATGTCATAGAAAGTCAAGACAGACATAATTTTGACATTTGTAATTTGTACTCATGTTACATGAAAAATACACCTGTTTTCAGCCAATCAGACATACTTAATTTTTGCACATATATTACTAGCTACTAAATACTACATGTGTACAATCATGCTGCTTACCTCCAAACAGTACAACATTGAAGCGTTCAACATCTGGCATTCCTAACAGTTCTCTGAATGTATTGACTCTTTGCATGATTGCATGATATAAACTGTCCTGTAGGGATGTGAACAATGCATCAGTTATGTCATACCACAGAGAGTGGCACAAGGTGCATGTAAAATATTTTGTACAATAATGTTGCAGACAAGCCAATTTTACAAATAATTATATTTTCTGCAATTAACTATAACCAAAGCCAATAAGCAAGAAGTGTCACTATGAAAGTAAAGCATTATAATAATGGTTTTTCTTGTTATTAACCTATGTCCTGTTGTTGATAAACTATCATTAGATGACCAACAAACAAACAAATTCAATTTGCACTGCTTTCACAATATTTTTGAACAGTTACATTTCTCATGCATATCTCTTAATTATCAGTAAGTCTCAAAATTCTGATGAAACTCTGAAAGTCCAGGGTAAAATTAATTTAAGAAGCGGGTTAAATCTTTCAAAAAAAAAATCATCTGTAGCTCAAAATTTCCAAATGTATTCAGCAAATGTTAGCTATTTTCATGCTAAGATTTTTGAGCCAAGTTTGGATGAGGCTTGATCACTTTCTGCAATTCATCACTGTCATTGGATCTTAAAGAAAAATTTGTCTTTTAAAGTAGTTTATAGGTCATAACTGAGACGCTTATTTCCTTTCATCAAAAACTTTTTCCCAAAGTTACCCACATGTAGATAACATTGCAACAAAAAGCTCTTTTCATTCAAAAATAAGGTGCTAACTTAAAATAATTTGTTGACAAAATATAGCAAAAAATAATTTTTCCGCAAAGTTAGGTCAATATTAGTGGAATTTTTAATTTTTTGTTTCTGTTTTTACTCCTTTTGAATGTCACTCAAAAGATGACGTTTTCATTTCTAAAACAAAGAGCAACTTGGTTTACCAATATCAAGGAACTTCTATTGTGACAGTCATGGACACTTTTTCCTCTTTCATTGTAGTAGCGATGAGAAGTTTTGAATAAATTATCAATATGTGTTTATTTCAAAACAAACAGGAAAAACCAGCCAGTCTCAAAATACAGCTGAAACTCTGTAAGTTATCGGTAAAATTCACTAAAAAATCAGGTTAAACCTTGCAAATTGGAATTACAACAGTTATCTGTATCTCAAAATTTCCCTTCCATAACATACCTGCCCCGTAAATGTATGTGGAATGAAACTGTGAAACAAGAACTCAACAAGGACTTCATATATATGTACATAGATCTAACGTGCAACGTAAAAAGTGAATCAGTCCTACTTTACCTGCTTGTTGTTTGCATAGAACTCCAGTAATGATGGAAAAAGCGGTAGAATGACTGTAAAAGCTAGGAGGTCGATGAGAAGGGAGAAGAAAACAATCCATACTGTTCGATCTGATGACAAAACTTTAGAGTTTTCGGATTCATGTTTCTCTTTATCAGCTCTCTTATCTGGTAAGTTTGAAGCCCTGTTTTTGAGCGTGTTCGTCTCCATAGCGTGCTGTCGTGCCTCGCCGAAAGAAAGACTTCTGTTTCACAAGTTAACGTTTCGTTAGCATTGAAAAGGAAATGACTGTCCTCTGGTGTTTAAAGCTTTGTGTATAGTGTCTCGGTGTCACGAAAGTTTGACGTAAATCTTTGTTCAAGAGATAATAGGGTCAATTCGCCGCAAATGAGTTGTTACATATTCATAAGCAATATCAATATAAGCAATATAGTGACTAAGCTTTCCAAAAAAGACTGATGGGCCCTTTCTTAATTGGGAAAAAACATTGGACCGCTAAAGTGCCATGCGAAGGAAATCCACCTTTACCGGCAATACAGAGCAGTGGGTGCAGAACCATCAGGCGTTCCATGTTTGGCATGTTGCAAAAAAAAATAAATAAAAAAGAGCCCCGAGTTCACCCGACCAATCCCGAACTTCATACGAGCACTTACAGAAAAAAAACTTGCTTCAGTGCTTTCTATTAAAAAAAAAAATTCGATTGAATGCTTGGTTTCAACGATCACTCGCTAGTCCAGCATTTATCAGTAATTTAGATAAGCAAGGTTACAGCAGGTTTTTAAAGTTAATTGTGGTAGTCGGGGAAACTCGGAGGCCTGTGTGGGAGGTACGATCCCATGAGGCCTACCGGCGCGAAAAGGAAACGGAAGACACACACAGTCACTAACTGCACACACTGTGCTCGACAATAGAGACAAGACCACAAGATATGGCTTGAAATACATGAGTATGGGAGAACATCTAGTGCCTGTGTTGTTTATAACAGCAAATGTGGGTTCAGTGTTCGAAAATGTGAGTTATATTCCAGACACCACTGATGTTATTTGTTGTTCTTCAATACCGTTGATGTTGTCAATGTCCTGCTTGCCTTTAGATTTGATGCACGAAGATTCACCTCGCCATTTACCTTACTGATGCTCCAAAATTTTAAATTAACTTCTTTTTTAATTGCGAATTCATAATTAAATGTAAAATGTTCTTTATTGCGTTGGTGTCCAACTTGTTTACAAAAGGAGGCTCTCAACTTTATTCCCATGTTGGTAATTATCAACAACTTATACCTGATAATTTTGTTGTTTTCATTGTAGCGAGATGGTTTGGAGGAGCGCTGGATTCGAGAAACAGTGACTGTAAGTAGGTTATTAGGGGTCTATGAACAAAAGTGAAAGGTCGAGTTAACTTTTTGTTCTTTTACATGCATGAAATTTGTAAAATCCACTTTGCGAAATTCTTGTGGTATTATACTGTTGATCGATCTGTGCAATCTTTTTGGGATTCTCATTGGTAGACTGTAACAAGATTCAAGCCAAAGTTAGTAGCACTTCATTTTCAAGAAAGTGGAGGGAAAGATTCTGGCGAAGAATCCTTAGAAAAAGTTAAAGAATTTGTCCGGTGAGAATTAATCAGAAGATGGATGCTCTCAATTTCTGTTTAATGTGAAAATTTGTTGTGGATATATTAGCAGGACTTTGAAAGCGTATTGTAATCGAATCATTTTTGTTATGTGATTTAGGATCTTCATCGATCAATCACTGCTGAAAGAAAAATTCGACAAAGTGCGAGCATGGTTCGATCAAGATTATCGTACAAAAGAACAATATACGGTGAGCACTATTCAAGGTCCAAAGAAATAATTTTTACTGTTCTGTTTGTCTCGTTTAATAAACCCTAATTACCAGGATGAAATTTTATTTAATTTCTATTATTATGAAAACAGATTGTACTGTCGCGAGTTGGGAATTTTGTGGCATTTAACTTAAACGAAAATCAGCGTAGTGCTACAGGCATGTTGGCTCTTTGTCAGTTTTTTGTTTTGGTTTCTTCACTTGTAGAATAATTGATGTTTAAAGTAATTGATTAGACACCACAATTTATCGTGTTTTTTTTCACGAATAAGTTGACGGTTTATTAGTATGGGGGCATCAATGACTGCTCCTATATTGGAAAAAAAGAAAACATTTAAAAATTAACAAGCTTGTAAATCCAATTCCATCATCCTTTGGGGCTGCTCATGGGTTTGTGTACATAGAGCATAAGCCTTTATTATTTTGAATTAAATTGTGTTTGGATAGCCCACCTTTAAACCATGATAACTGTAGCAGCATTTGTACCTTCTCCATGGAAAATGTTTCATTTTAAACATTATTAACTTCAGTTAGAAAAAAAAAAGGAGAGAGAGAGAAATTATTGCACATTTTTCTTTAATTTATGACTGTTTGGAGTAGTTCCTGGCACAGTCTCAAGCATATCAAGGAAATGCACTGAGTTAAATACTTTGCTTTGACAAGGATTTAAAGGGATTTAAGGGATAGAGATGTACTACTAGCTCATTGCATTACTTCAAATCAACCATCTTGGTTTAAGTCAGAGAATAATACTTTCTCCTAACCCTCGACACTTAAAGAAAATTATGTTTGAAGCTGAAAATAGTTGCAACCAAGGCATGACATCTATTGTGTTGGTGGAAGAAATCTATGCTTATTCTAATGGAAAGCCAAAGATTATTACAGAATTTTTAGATGAATTGCAGACATATACAATCATGCAGATGATTTGAGATATCCCAAATCAATACCATCTTACAAGCTAAAAAAAATGCTTATCCATAGCTATGAGTTTTTCAATCATATTTAATTATATTTATTTGAAATGGTTTTAAAATACCCCACAGATCAAAGACATGTCACATTGTCCATGCTTTTTGGTTTTGTATACCCTGTAGTGAAAGATTACCTTAGAAGGGTTTGTTATTGTGATATTTGTTGAACAGTTTTATTTTGTAAACAGGCTCTTGGCTGTATATATCTGGTAAGCAAGTCTTTAGAGGATGTGTTTCTCTGGAATTTCAAAGGTAAATTCTCTCTTTGATGGCAATGTGATCCATTTGGTGTCAAATAATAACTCACCTCATAAGAAAACTGTGAGTTTAAGAGAGTTGAACAAAAACTTCTAAAAGAAAGTAATTTGATCTTGCAGAGATACTTATGGTAATTGCAACAGCACATTTAACTAGTCAGGCAGTTGTGTAAATTTTATACCTGTAAATAATTATTTTGATTTAGGAAACTCAATGAGGTTGTTTTTATTTCTTTTTTTCACACTTTTAAAATCTGAAGAATCTACATTCTCCAAGGTTGAGGGAGAAGAGGTGAGTGCATTAACATTTCTGCGTAGAGTTTATTTACCAAAAGCTACTAAGTACTGGCTAAGCTACAGAAGCCAGTCTTCCAAAAACTTATAAACTGATATATTTTGATGTACTATACATGTATTTTGCTTGAAATGCATGTGTAGTTGCATAAGATATCAATAAAGGCATACTATCAGTACTGATAATTATATTGCTTACAGGTGTATAATGATAAAGATGTAATTCTATTTGCATAATTGTAGACAGAGTTAACTTAAATTTCATGAGAAATTGTAAACAGAGATTGTGTCATGCAGAACAGGAACACATGTTACCTTAGTAAAGTGTCAACAAGCTCTATTATATTCTTGGCTCCTTTGGCATACTATATACTGAATTAACTGTAATTTAAAAATTTTTATTATTAGTTACCTGGTAAGAGTATTTTTGATCAACTAATCCTTGCTGGTTTTAGATACAAGTGGGAAATCTGACAGATGTCCCTTTCCTGGAGAAAGAAAAATTTCCATTGGATTTTTTCCCCCAGGTACACTTTCAATAGTTCTTTAATTAAAAGTCTTTACAAGACATAATTATTTTGAATTTAATCACAAGGAAAGGGCTTAAACAAACCAATCAGGTCATGGATACAACAAAGGCATCACTGTTTACATGCTGCATTGTTACTCTATTTCACTCCATGGAAAGTGAAATGATTTGTTAAAGTGATTCCTCACAAAAAAAAAGTTATTCAACAATTTTTGTTTAAACTTTCCTCAAATGTTCATTACCATTATCTGTTTTGAAAAATACAATAAAAAGATGTGTCACCATGCTTGTTTAGGAGTTATAATGGGTCAAACTTACCCCATTTATGCCTGTACTGGCACTTATCACTCATGTTATTTTATCAGTTCACTATATATTTTGCTGCAGCTGGAAGCAAGGGTTTTTAAAGTAATACTTTAAAAAAAAAACTTAGTAGGTTGAATATCTGGAGTGTATGGAACAAATTGAAATATAATTTGTGGGAAAGTTACACAAATTTAAATGACATTAACTCAAAATGTTCCTTGAGTCATTCCTGTCCAGGTCATAATTTGTATCATTGAATTAAGGGTTTTGCGCACACTTTTAGCTTTAACTTTTTCCATTTGAATAATCTTTTTTTTATTTCCCCCATTTAATGGGGATAATTTGAACACCAATTTGTAAGGTGTGCTTGTTGGACCCTTTTGGCTATCTATCATGTCATATCCCAGGGGCACTTGTGGAATAATTGTTAAGTTTCACACTTAAACATTATTTTTTTATTGTTTCTGCAGTTCAAATGGTCACGGAAGGGCTTCATGAGAACAAGGTGGAAGATCAACAAGTGGTAAGATCATCAGTTTATTTGCACATGAAAGTTATTTTGGCTAAATCCTCTGAGAAATTCAAAACCCCAGTTAAAGAATTGTAACTTATTGTTAAACAAGGTGTTTCAGCTAAATACAGCCCTGTACTGTATAGCTTGCCACCATCATCAAATGCAAATAATATATAGATTTAGCCAAGCCTAAAAGCGGAGCTTGCATTTTTTTCCCTGCATGTCTCAAGGGCACAATGCCTTGCCCCGGCCAGGACTAGAACCTGGGTTGTCCAACTCAGAGCCTAGTGCACTGACCGCTGGACTACTGAACAAAGCCGTGATGTTGGTGTGCCCACAGTACAGTTGACCATGCATGTTAAAAGTAGCACCTTGTACGGTTGTACGGTCATACGGTCGTACATCCAAATTTTTTCAGCTTCATGAGTTACAACTATTTTGTATAATTATGGGACTACGCTTTGTGAGCTCCGCTATTAAATAGTTAGCAGAGACTGAGAAGGCAAAACAGCCATATGGCTTATAGCCCCTGGCTTTTAGAAGTTTTGGGTCATTTATAAAAAGTATGGGCCATTACAGTAATAGGGTGGGCTATATCTTGTGTTCTGTGAGTGGATTTTTTGATATGTCATATCTTTATTTATGTGCCATATAAGTATGATGCATAGCCTTCCCAATCTCTGAGTTAGTGAGAATGTATATTCATATGAAATAATACCATTATATGACACTGGAATATTAACTTGATGAGGAACTGCTGGAGATGAGTAAACATTTCTAACAGTTTCTATGCAAGTCACTGTTAGAGTCAGAGAAATTGTTCATTTAGTTCTCTACATTCCTTCCTTTTTCTTTACACTTTTGTCCATAGTTACTACTGGGTAATTCATTTATTTGCATTTTTCAGATTGATGTAACTTATCATAACTAGGGCACTAAGTTTTACTATTCTTAAATGTTTGAATGAAATATTCCATGATTTGCAATTATGTTCTATGATTTCTAGTTAAATTTACATGAATAAAGTCATGTTTGTCATTCTGTACAGAATCATGTTTTTATGCAGTTTGCTCTGTATTTTATTTGACAGTGTGTTTGATTTGCTCAATATTCACCTTTTTCATGATGCTTCAAACCTGGTATCCATTGAGGTGGTAAGTTAGGTTTCACCGATCACTTTAAACTATTAGTTTGTTGTATTGATGCTCAAATTGAATAAAAATGAAAATTTAGTTTGTCCCAAGATTGATGGTTATTCTCTTTTTTATATTTGTATCATAATAATTATTATTTTTTAATTATCAGACTCCATCAGTGTACAGTAAAAATCGCATGAGAGCTCTTGATCATGTGTTGGACAGGTGAGCTGATCAGTCATTTTTTTGTGTACACTCTAAGCTAGATTTCACTTGGTTTTGGCATGATAAGTATTACTTTTTATTCTGATCTATAGTTCCTAAGGAGTTACTTTGTGACTTTAATATCTGAGTTAATTTGTACTGGATGCACTGTTCATCTCTTGGTTTTGGCAGAATGAGTATTACTTTTATTCTAACCGTTAGTTCCTTAGGAGATACTTTTTTGCTTAAATCTAAGAATTGGAAACTTAATATCCACTGGCTGCCTTATGCCTAAGTTGGTTTCAGATCGAGACCAGGTACCAATACATCTTTTTATGACTGGGCTCTTTGTCCTGTTTTAAATAAAAGCTATCTCATAAGAAGTGGATTTGCCAATTAAAAATAAAAAACCCTCATGGTGAACAAGGACAGTAAGAAAATTTATTGAAACAGATAGCATGAACATATAGCTGAAACAGGGCTAAGATTTTTTTGTAAAATGCATTTTGTGGTTTTGACAGAATGAGTATTACTTTGATTCTAACTGATAGTTCCTTAGCAGATACTTGGTGACTTTAATATCTAAGTTAACTTGTACTGGATGCACTGTTCATCTCTTGGTTTTGGCAGAATAAGTATTACTTTTTATTCTAACCTATAGCTCCTCAGGAGATACTTAGTGACTAACCCGTCTAACTAACTAACTGTCAATCCTATTTATCTCTTGGTTTTGGCAGAATAACAAAGAGTTCAATTCCTGTAGTTCCCCATACAGTATTTGGTGACTTCAACTTCAGACTTGACAACAAGAGAGTGGTGGAGGTACAGTATAGATGTTATGAAAAAAAATACATATATACACGCAGTTTAAGTGTGCACAAGATACTCCAGCCTTTGATTAATGCACAAATCATAATATACTACCATATGACTGCACACATAGAGTCCTGTAACTAACCATGGTTGGCTATATGTGGTGATGCAATTGGCTTAACCATCATTAATTTTTTTGGATTTTACAGGCTCTCTGTGCTGGTCTTCCACAGCAACATATCAGGAAGGAAGGTGAGAGTACTCCTTCAAAGATCATCTACAGGGACAGAAAGAAGGCTGATAAGGTAAATATATGTAGATTGTGAATGTTGAGCTGACACAAGGTAGTTTCCCTTTCACATGGCTCACATTTAGCAAAAAGGACAGAATACTTTCATTGATACTCTGTAGGAGGCTGAGATTTTATCACTGACAGAATACAGGTACACTAGATCTGGACACTTTCAGATTATTATGATATCATTGTACCTCTGTTGTTTTTAAGTTTGTTTGTTATGACTGGCTCTTTTTATTGTTACTAATGGTAAAAATTATGTTTTCATTATCAATTAATGAATGGCCTGAATGTATGATGTACTTTGTTTTTTGATTTTTGTTTTTTTGTTTGACAGGTTTTCCTTACACTGGAACCTCGAATTTTCAAGTTTCATGACCAAAGTATATTTCGATACCACAATGGAAAGAAGTTTTCAAAGTACAACAGAGAATTTGATGTCTTCAAAGACAGACTGTTTGAGTTTGATATTTCATTCTATCCAAGGTAAAAGCTATTACCATTTAATAGGTTGTATATTTAACCAGTGAAATGTATAAGGCATTTTATTAAGTTAGAGTTTGAGTTGTGTGAATCTTGCTGACTAACTAATTAAATCTGAAATGTACAATGTCCAACTTTAGGATTTTTTCTTAAGTGTAGCGTTTTGTTAACATACACTGCTCATGTATTACTGTTTTTTTGTCCCTTTGCCTCAGGGAAAAATGTTTTTGTGACTATAGTATCAAAAGTCCCCCTTTTTTAAAAAAAATAGGGTACAGTAGCATCAACATGATGAAATATTTCTTGTCTCTATTTTAATAGCTATCCTTTCAGCGAAAATGTAAAGGATACAACAGTATATAGTGATTCAAGGTACATATTTTCAAAATCTTTTATGTAGTGTAAAAAAGAGTGTTTCCTAAATCAGGTCAGAAGTGTTTCATCTTCATCCATTGTGATAATTTCTCCTCTGAGTACTGGTGCTGTGCAAGTGTATTTTTTTCCTTGTAAAACATTTTAACAAGTCAGAAAGTATCAAATACACTGATGAACCAAATCAGTGTTAAGGAAACCAAGATTTCTCCATTATTTTTGCAAAAAAATGAGATTGCTGTTCTTATTAATGTTACTTCCTTCTGTGATATCAAATATCTCAGGTGTCCATCTTGGTGTGACAGAATATTCTTGAGTCACTCAAGCAGAGCCATAATTAACCAGGTCAGTTTTCATAATCTTTACTAATTAAGTAATATCTAGGCTGTATTTTCTATGCTGGGAGAACACAATAGTTTTTGTGTATTCTCTCAAAACCAATAGGAAGAGTGGTCTATTGCCTTCATAAAATCTACTTAAAATAAAACACATTTTGTTTTGATTTTCTATGCATTTACTAATGCAATAAAGAGAAGCACAATTCACAAGCTTCATTTCAATCATCAGAAGCAATGTTAGTTTCTTCAAGGTAGCTTATTGATCAGCACAGGAGAACTTGTTCCAATAGCAACAGGTGTGTTTTCATAGTATGTAGTAGGGTAGATGTGTTGCTGTACTCTACTTGATGTTTAGACAGCAGTCTTTGGATGACACAAATAATGGCCAAGAAAATGGTTTAATACAAAGTCAGAGTGTTATTCAATTCAGCTAAATATTAATCATATCCAGCATATTGATCACCAGAGCTGAACTGTTCAAAAACCAATTCCACTAAAACCCTGGGCTAGCTGCCATGGAAGTTAAATGTTGATTACTTGAGTGCTAACTGAGCTTCAAAGAACTCACCTCAGTATTTGAATGAATGTTTTGTTGTGTTTGATCAGAGCAAAGGTTCATCAGTGGTGTATGACATGATGGGTAAACAAGTCTGTATGGGAGACCACAAGGTACAGTATCTGTTTCAGCCTGAATTATTCTTTTTAGTGGCTTTGGCTTTTTATCAATTCTGTCATTTCTTGTGATCCTTCCACAGCCTGTATTTCTATATTTTAACTTGGATTCTTCTCAAGACACCCTTTCCCAAGGTTGGTAAATATTTAACTTTTGCTTCAGTTTGAGTTTTTCCAGGGAGCTGTTGATGTAAGTCATTCAATTTGAACATAGCACTCCTAATGTTTTACTGGTCTACAATTCAACATTTGCGCACTTTTTAAAACCTCTTACAGGTGGACCTGGACTCGTCAGAAATGGTGGACCTGTTGAAATTGTAGAGTATTTAACAAGTGTTTAAGGCTTCACAATTTTCTGTCACATATGGAGTTTTAACCATTCAAAATTATGCTCTCCATGTGCAGTAATTCAGTGTTAATTTAAGTCTAAAGCATATTTAGTGCTCTTTTAGCCATTAACAGAACTGACTACATTGAAGTAGATGAGATTTGACACCAAGAGGAGTTTCTGTCCTTAGAATCAATCAATTTTCTTGCACAAAGGTGATGTGAAGAAAGAAACTTAACAATTAGGGGATCTTATTTGATCTGATGCTTAATATCAGAGCTAAAATTATAAGAAATTTATGGCTAAAAGTTTAGAAAATTTTTATTCAGATTTTAGGAGTAAATCGGTTTGTGAGTGGATTTTAAACAGTTTTTCTTTGCATGGGAAGATTACCTGAGGGCTCTGAAGTTCAAACATAGAACAAACCGTAGATGGGAAGACAGCATAACCAAAAAAAAAATGAAGAAATAAATCTAACAATGCCTTAGATTATTAATGTTTAAATGATATGAAGAATCATATAGTTATGAAGAGGAACAAGATTGTGCCTGAAGAGGTGTAGAAGTGTACTCATAGCCAATGCTAGTGTGGAAGGCATTAAACAGGCTGGGGTTGGGTTATTTAGGATATAGGTGCATTCTCTTTGGTTTCCCCTTTTCTTTGTTTTGATTATTTTCACCCTGCCTATTTTGTTTCTTTTCACACCTTTAGACAGACTAGTGAAAAGATATAAGTCTGAAGTCTCAGAATTTTTGTTTTGTTTTTGTTTTTTTGCTTCAATCTAAGGATTGGAAACTTAATATCCACTGGCTGCCTTATGCCTACGTTGGTTTCTGATCGAGACAGGGTACAAATACATCTTTTTATGACTGGGCTCTTTGTCCTGTTTCAAATAAAAGCAATCTCATAAGAAGAGGATTTGCCAATTAAAAGTGAAAACGTTTTGTTCTCCACTTTCTGCCTTCCTCTTAACCCTCATGGTGAACAAGGAAAGTAAGAAAATTTATTGAAACAGATAGCATCAACATATAGCTGAGATTTTTTTTGTAAAATGCATTTTGTTGTTGTCAAATTTAATTCAGAAATAACTTCTTGTATATAAAGGCCAGTTTTCATTCAGTTGCACAAACATATTTGAAATCATTGATTAAGTCCGGTTAATCGGACTCCAAAGATATGAAGCGATTAATTACCATTTCTACCATTCTATTTATGTATAAAATTCCATATACGTTTAAAATTACTAAAAATGGATCTTTCTATTGGTCATTCTTGAATCATGCAGGTGCTTTTTCACTTAGTCATTAGCAGAGGTGCAAAATATTCAAGAGCATGAAGATGTTGTGATTCAGTATTATAAGACGTAATCTTGGTATATCTTGTGTATATAGAACAAGGATTCAAAAAATAATAAAATCTTAACATTGGGTAACATTGCTCCCGTTTATGACTACATTCAACCCATAAAATATACCCATCAGTCCAAGGCTCCACCCAACTATTCGAAAAACCTTCTAAAAGGCCAGGGGAAAAGGGTTTATTTATTTCAAAATGGCGGTGGTGGCTGCACAAACCCAAGTCCACGTTAGGTGCGTGTTTTTCCTCAGAGGAAAGAAGGTTCAGAGGTGATTATTCATTGGAAAAGTTTGGCAGTTAAATGTATCTAAAACCAAGACCGTAATGAAGTCAACTCGGAAGTTTTAGACGTAGTCCCTCTTTTCCATATTGTTATGAAACTTTCCAGGCTTGAACGAGAAGTAGAGAGCCAAAGGAAAGATGGTTTGCTTCCTTTGCAAATTAAGTTAAGTATGGCACATCACCCAAAAATTCGGTAAATTTGATGCTAGGGTAAGCATTGGGCTTATCATATCCAGGATCGATGATTGCATTCAGAGGTGGGGCGGGGTCGTGTAACTAAGAAAGAGGATGGATTGAAAACTGTCGAAATAAGATACTACTAAAAAAATATAATTTACCTCAGCACAACTTTAAGAACTCAGGACTCTAACAGTCGCCTTGACCCCAGCTCTGTTGTCAAAGATTAACCGACGTGAACAGCAACTTTTTATTCGTACTCTGACATGGATGAACAAATGATAAAAGAATTTTTTAAAGAAATAAAAATAATAAACCACGAAAAAGTACAGCCATTTAGAAACGGTGAATGGTAGTTAAGCAAATTGGTTGCCATTGATAGTTCTTGAATTTTGGTTTTTCGTAAACATCATGACAAAGAATTGGTAGGGGTACTAGTAATTTTTGGGAAACAAAATAAAATGGGCCTGTAACTGAAGGCAAAGGGGATTGTACGGTTAGTTGGATATGCCCTGTTACTTGACTATTAGAAACCAGTGTAATACTGATACATACACAATACTTAATGTGAGCAAGAAATTGTAAATGATTCTCTGGAAGTGTTTATTCATAATCAGGTTCTCACAAATGAGTTACGATTCTCATTTTCCAATTGTTCTGATTTAATCATTCTTTCGTAGCCAAGCATGTCCATCAAATTACCACAAACTTGCTCTACCGCTGTAATTAAGCTCCGTGGAGCTTTCTTCCACTTGTTTATAACCAGCGAAGCGTCTCTATAAAGTGAATAAGGATCCTTTTCATTATTTTTGTGCGGTTTTTTCTGATGTTTTTCAATCCATTTATTAACATTTACAGACCAAGCAAACCCTGTAAATTTGTAGAGATCCTTTGCTATTTTTGTTGTATTATTAACAAAATCTTCGAAGCGTATCACTCGAAAGCGATTTTTTAGCCATGAAGGAGAAGAAAACATGCCAAATTTAATGTTTCTTTCAATGTAGGTACAAATTCTCTGAAGAGTGTCGCGAAATCTTTGATGTGATTCACTGGTCACATTTAACCATTGGACTGAGTTGACCATGGAATATGCCACAGCTCTTGGATCACGAACTAGGTGAATCAGTTTTGAATTATATCTCTGTTGCTGGAAAATTTCCTGAAAACTTTCCAGAGTGTTGTTTGGTAAACGATGAATCAAGATCTTGAGTACAGTATGTTTAGAGGAGTGACAAACTTTGTTAAGTAATTCCGCTGAGTAAGGCAGACACTTTTTCCTTTTGTTTTTTGTTGGGCACAAATGGCTACTGCTCAGTGATGCACTTCGCATCCGAAATATGCTATTAGATAATGCAGACATAATGTCTTTAGGGATCTGAGTGAAACTGCAGTTGAAAAAGCTATTGATTAGGTTGATAGCAGTTTTGCTGTACTGAATTTTTCTCTCTTTGTCTTTGTACAAATGGAGTTCATATATGCCGCGGGATAAAGTGTGTAGCGGCTCAAACCAATACATGATATCAGGATTAGCATCAAATACTCCTCCTAAGAATGAAGATCCTCCTCTGCCTGGGCTCAATATAATGAGATTAGACCGGGGAGTCCTCTTGTTTAATGTGTTGATTTTAACAGATGGTTCAGTTGATTTCTTAATACCAAGCGTGGTGAATAATTTCTTTGTTTCTGTTTTTGGGTGTTGTTCTTGTTTAAAACCTTGCAAACTCAGTGGAAATTCCATCTGACTGGAGGTTTTATGTGATTTAATACGCGGAGTCAAATTCCATGATGAGAGAAGAATCAGGGTGTTCAAAACAAACATGGTCACAAGGACACCAAATGTGACTAATACCACGGTCTTCTTCATTTCGAACTCAGGCGTCAACCGTCTCCACAATTTGTTATATTGTCACGTGTGGTGATGATTACCTAAAAACATAAAGATAATATAAGAATATCGTTTTTTTTTTAATCCTGTTTTCAATTTTTGTAGAAATCTTGCCACTTTGTCGATGAACTTAGGACCTAACCAAACACTTAGTGCATCTGCTAACTACTATTACGATATTTATCAATATCCGGACTCCATAGAATCCATTCCCATTTTTTTCTCAGGGGGCGCAGGGTTAGATGCGTTTTTTACCTGCACGACTTATTTCCATTTGTCAATCAGAATGAATTGAAATTTTTGCATTAAACGTGGAGTTAGGTACAGATGGCTCTCGTGGTATTGAAGTAATATGGCTGACTTTGGACTGCTGCAGCGTAGAATATTCAGTTTATTAGTTAAAAAACCATGTCCTCTTTGGATGCGAGACTTTTCATCGAAACATAATGTCCCATTCAGGTAATTGATAGAAAGGGGTTATCGAAACACCAACACAGTATTTGAAAATCGTGAAGCCCAGCCAGCTATGTGTTAGTAGTTCAAGTCAGATATTTTTCCTGCAGTCGGTGCTTGCGCAAAACACAAGAATCTAGAAACAACTACGGAATCAGAAAAGTCAGGAGTAGAAACAGGTGCAGAACAAATGAAGAAACAAAACCTACCCTAAAAGACAGCAATGGTTGTGAAGAATGATCAGCAGATATAAATAAATACTAAACTGTTCCCACGTACTGGAACTTGATGAAGGCCACTGCTTTATAGTTGTGCTCTGACAAACTACAACGAATGCATCAATATACTTTGTATCAGATAAGTAGCCTTGTCAAATGAGGCCAATACTTAACGACAATGACATGATATCAGACAAGCTTTCGAGTCTAAAACAACGAAATTTGTCAGGTTATTTAGTTGTCGTCTGTGATCACTTAACTTTAACGTTTTCCTTTGGATGTAAAATGACACATGGAAGACAAAAGGTTTAGTTAGAAAACACTTCAGCTAACTAATATTTGAATAAGAATTCATGAAAGCATCGGAATTATTATATAAGTTTGTTTTGATGTGATATGATGTCACTCTTTGAAACAACTATGAATAGAACAGTACTTCAAGAGAGAATCACGTGACTCATTCAGCATAACCTGCTACACGAGCTAATAAAGTTAAAACAGTTTAACAGCTCCTATAAAGGAGCTTAGATACATCTACGGTAGGTAAACCTGCCAAAGTCGTTGGTAACCTCTCCATCTTTTTAAAGTAGACCTGTGGCTGTTTCCTGTAATTCCTCTTGTATTCCTTGCAAAGGAATAGAGCATTATTAAAGCCATTTGTGCTTCCAGGTGGATTTACAAATATAAGAAAAATAATAAACTTTAGTTAAAAATGTACATGAAACTTACAAAAAAACCCCATGTTTTGGCCAAACTTTCGGCCTTCGTCAAGGGGAAATGATAGGATTATTTACCACACGTTCAATATATATTTTTTGAGGAAAATGCAAAATTGAGCTTACTAATTCAACGGCACTCCTTCGTAAGATGTTGTGAGATTGCTTGAAGAAGGAAGGGACAAAGTATGAAGAAAGTTCAGCAAATGCAGCCTTTGGCGGTTTTTTACAAGTGCTATTTGTAGTAACAGGTGCCTTCTAGAATCTTGGGATATCAATATTTACAAGAATCTATTCAATCTTGACGATGGTATTACTTCACGCCACGAGTGTTAATACTGAGCGCTGATGCCTAATCCATAGTGTTTACACCTAACCTCTTAGCAACGTGAATCAGCTATCGACAGCTATTGATTTACAAGGTACTTTGTCTACTTTAATACGTCTGTAATGATATATTAGGAATTAATTAGCACATGAAATTTCGCTGTAGCTTTATGCGCGGCAGCCGGGTAATTTTCAGAGAATTTCCACTGAAAACTGAAATAATTTCAAATTTCTTTAGGGTGTCAGATGTTTGAGTAGAAATGACTGGCGATTCCGAAAATATCCGAACTTGGCATACCATGAACTACCATGTTCTCGACAAAAGCACAGAAAACTAGTCCTCTTGAATCGCTTGGTATTTCTAAATAAATATTGAATGGCCTTATCAGGTTTGCATTAAGTTCTTTGGAATTTGGTGAACATTTCCGAGTACCGCGGATTTAGTCTATTAAGACTGTGCCCAGCAAATGTTATTCCAATTTAAATAAAAGTAATTTACAGAATTGCTTGGTATTGCTGAAAAACCATAGAATAATTCCATTTGGTTTGCATGTCGAGGTTTTCGGCGGGAATGCGGTCAATATTTCTGACAATGGATGAGCCAAGTGCCAAGCACACAGCGGTTTTCTTACTAAAGTTCGATATTTCATTTACTTGAACACCAACAGTAATTGGAATCGCCTAACTTTACCAAGCAAATATCTGATACTCTCTCTCGACACTTTTTCTCGTTAATTTCTATAAAAATTGCCCGGCTGTAGTACATGTAGCCACGGCATTGTTATGTAACACTTATTGGCTTTTCCCTTTTTCTTTTTCCTCTTTTTGTCGGCAAAGTTATTTCTGTTATTGAAGAATGCTGTCAAAAACACATGTAGCTCATTTAAGTTAAAAGATGCTTCGTTGAAACATTCAGATAGAGAAGTAGTAACAGCCCTAACTTACGTTACTATTTTGCCCAAATTTGAAAACTCTTGACTTACCTTTTTTGTGATAAATCTTCAATTTGATCTGGTCGGATAACTGCTTTTTCCATGAAATTTTTGGGCCAAAACTTTTATGTACTATTCCAGAAACGAGTGCTAGGGTTTCATCTGATGGAAGCCCGAGGCGGCAGGCCAATTGCTTTTATTGTTTTCGAGTGTATGGAAACCCTGAGGAAACCCAATGCACGAGTTTTTAAAATAGCTTCTCAATCGCGCCTTAGGAATAAAAGAAAATGAAAATATTCACGAATTTTTCACATGTTGTCGGCAAGTTTGTTGTTACGAAAAATTGTATCATTATGGTGAGTTGTCCTTTGGTGACTCGAAGAGTTCTTATGATCAGTTTCTGGCCCTCTGCCTACTTTAAGAACTGTAAAATAAATATTAACGTAAACAAGTAAACAACCGTTATGATACTTTCCTTGAAAAATGTCTTGTTACTTCTTATTAGAGGGTGTTAATAAAGGTTGTTTTTTCATGTCACGGTGTCTTTGTTTTAAGTATTCAAATATGTATTACTGTTCAAATTAAGAAATGAGTTCACCAGAGTTTGACGCTTTATCAAACTCCAGGGTTTGATATTATATGAAACTAATGGTTAGCGCGTCATTCCAGTGTTTCACCGGGTTTCAAACACGTGACGAAATTGGCGTGTCTTGGTTGCATGATCACCAGTAATGAATAATAACAAGTTTATGAACACTACGGTATATCCTCCCTGTTCCTTGCATCAATAACATAATAAGTTCACCATCGGACATTGCAAAAAACTCTCCAGTTAAAAAAAAACAAGCGACAGGGCCTGACGAGGCATTACCTCAAATTCTGAAAATCGCTGGTCAACCCCTGGCTGGTCCGCTGCTTAATCTCTGTACGATATTATGAGTTCCAAGAATGAGTATGTTTTTGGCCAGTGGAAGATCACAAGAATTAATCCATATTTTAAGGAGGAGGACGAGGCTGTAATGGCAAACTAGCGGCTGTTTCTTTCCATAGTTTCTCCAGTATAGTACTCGGATCTTCTCTGGCTGCTAGAATCATTCAGCACTCGTTCACGGAGAACAAATTGATATCAGTTAACGAGTTGGCATACAGAGATAGACAGCCTTACCCTACCCCACCCTTACACCACGTTTCCCCTCCCCCAACAGGCTGAGCCGCGCGATTCTCTATGCTAATCAAGGGTGATCAAGTAATAGCTGAAAATTTAAGTTCCTCACATTTTCAGAATCTTGTTTCATACAAATGTTGGGAAGATATTGGATTAGATGAAGGGGATGACTAGCTGAAATATTATGCTGCAACATAATAACATCTGTCCTTGAAGGTGACTGGTAATATTTTGTTTCCCCTTCTCTCTCTCTCTCTCTCTCTCTCTCTCTCTCTCTCTCTCTCTCTCTCTCTCTCTCTCTCTCTCTCTCTCTCTCTCTCTCTCTCTCTCTCTCTCTCTCTCTCTCTCTCTCTCTCTCTCTGTGACTCATCCGCCGGCCTCACGCTCCACCATTCACACTCTTTCTCCCTGACAGGTTTTTGCATCAGGAAAAAAACGACAAAAAATTGGCGGCAATGAAAACCTGAGAATATGCTCGATGCTCGTTTCACGTCTGCAGAATTTTCAGAGATGGGCAACTATTAACCCATTTTCGGGAGTTTTAAACATGAAACTAACTCTGCAATAAATTAGTTATTGCATGCCTTCCACGGTTTCTGACGGGACGGGAGAAATCACTGCCTTGTTCCATACTTGTCTATATAATAAGCTCAGTTATGCACGCATTCTGATTGGTTCTCACTTATGATCTATTGAAGGACAGACGTATAGATGACGTCATCATTAAAACTTTTTACAGTATATTTTAATTCTTTATTATATAAAATAAATAGACTCCAAGTTGCCGTGCGTCTGTTCAGTAATAGATCACAGAGGACGTCAAAATGCGTTAAGAACATCAGTGACAAACTGGGCTGCGCCTCGTGTGCCACTTTTTTGTTCTTACCACATTTTGACTTCATCTGTGATCTGTTACTGAACAGACGCACGGCAACTTGGAATCCATTTGTTAATTTAACGGCTCTGTGAGTAAGATTATATTGAAGCAACAAGTCAAAGAAGAAATGGCTGCATATTGGCGGGAATACTTACAAAGGAATACCTTTTTTGATGTTATTTATATGTAGATAGGAATGTATCCAGAGAGAAAAGGGATCACATTTGATTAGGTTATTTCTTGTTACTCAACAACATTATTTTTATGATTTAAAGTAGAATACGCCTTTAACCCTTAGCACCCTAACATCAATATGCATAACCCCCATACTGTATTCTTTTATTTCTGACGAGGAGAATCTGCTCAACGATCAAGAGTTTCTTTGGTTGTTGATCATTTCCTTTATTCTCGTGGCTTTAATGTGTGATTGGGGGGGGGGGGGTACTGTGAGGAGAAATTATATGCTGGTCACTCTTAGGGATTAAAGGGTTACAGTGATGTCGTAGGGTAACTCTGGAGCCAGCTAAAGGCCATGAAAATTAGATGCATTATGAGCTTCAAAGTCGTATGATGCTCATCATATTGGATGCAGCTACTCCGAGGGTGGCACGCGTCGAGGACGATATATTTGTGCTCAGTTAATGATCTTTTTCATCAGGATCTTGATTATTCAAACACCTGGAGTTGTTAAGCGGTGCACCCGCGGGAAGCCTCCAGAAATAATAATTGCAAGTCGCCATTTTAAAAGCGCGATATCCTTTAGGAAACCAAGCGGCATTTGGAAGGATGACGTCAAGTTTACCATGTGGGTGATCAAGGGAAGGAGTTTCTGTTATTTTTTCACGATTAAGTCCTGTTCTTATTTGTTTTATAATTTACTGTATTTACAGTGGAAATTTCCCTCTGTTAAGCCGTAGGAGGTTGTAACTTACCAACTGAATGATCTTTACTGCCCTCATTTCACATGATATTGAGGTTTTACCACTGACTCCGAGTTTCTTCATTTCTTAGGACTAATTTTCTTATTTCAAATGGTTCAGGGACAAAAATACGTCGGTTGATTGAAATTCTGAAGGAAATCAACAGCTTTATCGTGAACCTTTCTGCTGTCTAAGACCGTTGAGAATCTGAATCATTGTAAAGGTTCCCTTCACATTTCAGTTTGTTGTTTGTACGTCACAGGAGAGTGAGAACCACACTTTAAAATACCAGCCCAGTTGATTTTGATAAACAACCAAATGTCATTTTATTTTTATTCAGGTTATTACAAGTGAGCTTCGATTAATAGAGTTTTTTTCTTCTGATTTAATCATTCTTTCGTAGCCAAGCATGTCCATTAAATTACCACAGACTTGTTCTACTGCTGTAATTAAGCTCAGTGGAGCTTTTTTCCATTTGTTCATAACAAGTGAAGCGTTTCTATAAAGTGAATAAGGATCCCTTTCATTATTTTTGTGCGGTTTTTTCTGATGTTTTTCAATCCATTTATCAACACTTACCGACCAATCAAATCCTGCAAATTTATAGAGATCCTTAGCAATTTTTGTTGTATTAACAACAAAATCTTCGTAACGTACCACTTGAAAGCGATTTTTTAGCCATGACGGGGGAGAAAACAAACCGAGTTTTATGTTTTTTTCAATGGAGTTACAAACTCCATTAATAACGTCATGGAAACTTTGATTTAACAAGCTCGATATATTTATCCATTGCACTGAATTAAGCATAGAATAAATCACAGCTCTAGGATCCCGTACTAAGTGAGTAAGTTTGATTTTATATTTCTGTTTCTGAAAAATTCCTTGGAAACTTTCAAGTGTATTTTTCGGCAAACGGGACGTCAAGATCTTGAGAACAGTATGTCTGGAAGAGTTACAAACATTGCCAAGTAGTTTCACTGAGTAAGGTAGACATTTTTTCGTTTTGTTTTTTGTAGGACACAAATGCCTACTGCTCAGTGACTTACTTCGCATCCGAAATATGCTCTTAGATAATGCAGACATAATGTCTTTAGGGATCTGAGTGAAACTGCAGTTGAAAAAGCTATTGATTAGGTTGATAGCAGTTTTGCTGTAATGAATTTTTCTCTCTTTGTCTTTGTACAAATGGAGCTCATATATGCCGCGGGATAAAGTGTGTAGCGGCTCAAACCAATACATGATATCAGGATTAGCATCAAATACTCCTCCTAAGAATGAAGATCCTCCTCTGCCTGGGCTCAATATAATGAGATTAGATCGAGGAGTCCTCTTGTGGAGTGTCTTAGTTTCAACAGATGGTTTAGTTGATTTCTTGATATTAAGCTTGGTGAATAATTTTTTTGTTTCTGTTTTTGGTTGTTGTGGTGGTTCTTTGTCAAATCCCTGCAAAATCGTTTGCCTTTTTGCCGGACCGATATTCGTATATGGATTTAAACGCGGAATCAACTTCCATGATGACAGAAGAACTAGGGTGTAAAAAACAAACAGTGACGCAAGGACGCTTAGTGTCACCAACACCAACTTATTCTTCATGGCGAACTCAGGCGTCAACTTTGTGTTCGGTTTGTAATATTGTCAAGTGCGATGATAGCTGCGGAGAAAAACACGATACTGTAACATGCAGTCTCTACTGATTACTATTTCAATTGGCGTTTACTTCTTTTCATTTCTTCAACAATTGTAGGACGTAAATAAACATAAGGTTTGGCTTCCAATCAAGCTAACAATTTTAAGGTACGTACCGGAGAATCCACCGCAACTTTAAAATTTAATTTTTATTAGAATGAGTTGATATTTTATGCAGTCGACCGTTTACTATGCTGTTACAGATGACATATGTGATAGTCAACTAATGCATTTGAAGTGGTCAGTAGTCCTCGTCGCATACATTTCTTACGATTGATTTAAAACGTAAACACTTGATAGGGTCATAAAACAATAACTGACCCGGCGAAGTCATGTGTAGTAACACATGATGTCGTCGTAGCAAAGCTAACTCTGAAAGACGCGAATGATTGAAAAAACCAAAGAGCAGTTAAGAACAAAATTGTTGGATGTCCTCGTGTGCTGAAGCTTTTAAACTTATTGCACACTGAATAACTCTAACTAATGCGTCAATATATATCGGCTTCAACTTTGATCAGTGGCTTTGCTCAATAAGGGTAATACTTCATGTTGATATGACCTCCGACAACAGAAAAAGAGCATAACTTTCAAAAGAACGAAAATATCGCATTGCTTCTCCCTAAGAGAAAGAAAAGAAACCTAATTTATCTAAACTCACACAGGTATTTTGTGGTCTATTGGCTCTATTGTCTAAATACTTCTAAGCTAAAATGAATTGCATCGGTGCCATATTGTTGTCTCCTTTGCAGTGATCTCGTCACACAACGCCATTTATTCCCCGTTGGAGAGACCAAACAACAGTCTTTTAAGTTTTTCTTTGTTTTGACTTTTTTCAGTCGCTTTTTGTAACTCCATCGCTGACATTGTCCACACATTACGAACTTTGTGTTTCCGCTCCAAGTAATTACGCAGGGTCGAACCCTTCTTGCCCGCTCAGGAGGCCAATAACAACACAGGACTCGCTTATTGGCGCCCGCGGGTACTACCAGCGATTGTAAAAAAAGGTTCAACGAATACATTAGAGTGTATGAGTGGACGGATCAAGCTCAGCAAACATGCTCTTTGCCTTACATTTTTTAGATAACTACATTTCTAAGAGAGTTTCTCAACGAATGGCGATGAATTCAAGCCATGTTTAACACAATGGGTTGTACTGTTTTTCAGTCCTCAAGTTCAATTGACCTCATCTCTTGAATCAAAAGGAGAAATTATAATTTTCGGTCTTTAGGCGACTTGATAAAGTCGAATTATATTTTAGACGAACGAGAACTTTGGCAGCTGATCTGGAATTTTTCAAGAAAAAAATAGCATAATAGATTGGACAGCGCTAAGCTTTATATCTTGCCTACCTGTGTTATAACCACTGGAGATTGTCTTTCACAGACAGAACAAGAACCAACTGAGTTGCTCGCAAGTTATTTCGTGTCGGTTATCTAGAATAACGAAAGACAAACTTGTAATTGTTCTTCAGTACGCATCTGTCAAATTCATATGGAAATGCAAACTTAGTTTGCGCAGCTGAAAGTTCTGTATGAGCTTTGAAGCCTCCGCCGAAATCAGCAGGCTTCAAAGCCTCAAAACCGCCAGGTTCACAGGCTGAAGTAAACGATTTGTAGCTTTGGTGACTAGTTCGGTAACATAGCTCCATGTTAATGTTCGAAAGTTTTTCTTATTCGGTGAGTGAAGAATTTTAGGTATCTAAACAGCTTTTAAGCTTTAATAAACAGCCATCCTTTGATAAGCGCAAAGTAAATAAGCAACTCTATGCACACCCAGTTACTTTCTTAGAAGAAGGGTACAAATGATACAAATAAAACCTGTTCAGTTTCTCTGTAACTGTTGTTAACATCTCTGAATTAAACCTTAAGATATGTTGCCATTGGTGCATAGATAAGAAAACCTCTTTTTTTTGTGAAGTCTTCTTTAGCCGTTTCAATCTCTGTCTCAGTACTTAATAGCTTTTTCCATTTTTGTCTTTCCACTGAATAGTCCCAGGTCATGTACATAAGGATTTACCTAAAGATCCAGTCTAATTCAGTCACCGGATGATCACATTCACCAGTGACGACACTAAATACTTTTACATTTACATTATATAGGGCAGTTTTATTAAAAAAATTGCATTAGTACGAGTGAAAGTGTTATGGTAACACTTTGGTTTAGATTATTTACTATGCGATTGGCTTTGTGGAACATTGACAGCACATTGCAGTCGTTTAAAACAAAGTTCTCTAGCAACGTGATTCACAGCTTTCTTTTAATTTTTTTGTTATTTTTATAAAATTGTGCAATTTTATACGCAGTATCTTTACTCTTTTGGGGAACAACATCAACTCGTTGAAGTCATTGAAAAAAACCAAATCAACGTGACTCACACTTTTGCCAAATCCATTGTTGCAAAGATATACAGGGATTGAAGGTCAGTGAACAATCAAGTTTTCTGTGGAAGGATTACTAAAAATGTTTTCATTTACTGCCACAAACTGTCGATGATCTGTGCATTGACAATGAAGGATCATCTTTCGGACTGACACCAACGCCTGACAGTCATTGAAAATTCTCGCCATCATATGCGGTCTTAAACTCTAAGGAGTGAAGCTGGAGATTTGAATCTATTTCAATTTTTTTTTTGTTAAAATAAGAGTATTTACTGGTTTCTAGACTGATACCACGCAGTCAGATTTGTAACGTGCGTGCGTTTACCATTTTAATACATATGTCAATATTTCACTCACTAATGCCGGCGAATACTCGTCCTAGAGACTTCACGTGGTTTCTTTTAAACGAATTCGAAGTCTAAATCAAAAAAAAATTTCTCTTGCTTTGTTTAGGTTCACAAACAACGAACTGAACGAAATGTAATACAAGCAGAAAGATCTCAATTTATTATACCCGGTCGCTTTGATTCCTGGCCTGTCGTACCCGTAATAGGGAGAAACAAGACAACTTCTGTCTTCAAGAGTTGATTTCATCATGAGAAATCACCGGTTCTATTTCAGATGCTGTATCGTTATTTCAATGTGTTTGCTGATTTTATACATCCTGTTTAATAGTAATGTGTGGGAGGCAACCGTGGATTTGATTTCTGAAGAAAGTGGCAAAAGCCTGAAGAAACTTCGTCCGCATTATCATTTTGAAACAAAATCGCTACCTGATCACAAACGAAAATCACCTCAAGAACTTAGGTTTCACTCCAAACCAATACGGAGCGAGGAAACCAGTGAATTAAATCGAGAACTCGGAATTTGTCCCAGGAGGAAAAATGTTGTTATTTTAAGTCAAGGGAGGGGGGGGTCTTCGTTCCTTGGAGGAATTTTCAACTGTCATCCTCAAGTCATGTACTGGTTCGAACCTCTATTTCATGTCGGCAATGTTTTGAATGTGAACGTGTTTATGGAAAAGGAGCCAATTTCATACAAAGATACTTGTTTTCATTTAGTCGACAGTATTTTGAGTTGTGACTTTAGTAATATCACCAATGCAGTTTTATCAGACATTTCTACCAGTTCTTTCCGTCGTCACAGCCAAGCCCTCACTAGTGATAAATTATGCCCCGGTAAAAAAACCTCTGGAAAGTGTGCACCATTGACAAACTCTTTGCTTGGTCAGGTTTGTAATTCTTATAAGTATTCTGTTATCAAGATTTTGAGTGGACGATTACCAAACAACTCGCTAAAGAGCTTTCAGGAACATTTCGTCCAACAGAACAAATACGATGTGAAATTCATCAGCTTGGTTCGCGATCCTAGAGCTGTGGTGTTTTCTTGGGTAAAGTTGAATTGGATACAGGGCCACTCAAATGCGGAATTTCGTTCAAATGTCCACAGGATTTGTGATTCAGTAAAAAAAAATGTGCTGATTGGCTTGTTGTCTCCCACGCCCTGGCATAGAAACCGCTTCAAAGTAATACGCTTCGAAGATCTTGCAATCGATACCTCAAATGTTGCACGAGAAATATACAAATTCGTGGGACTTGATTGGTCAGTGAGCGTGGATAAATGGATAAATGATCACAGGAGGAGGAAGGGTGAAAAGAACCCGTATTCACTGTTCAAGAATGCTTCAACTGCTATTAGCAAATGGAAGAGAGAAGCTCCTGAAGAGCTCATCAAAGGTGTTGAGGACGTTTGTGGTGGCTTAATGAATATTATGGGTTACAAAAAATGGTGTAAAGCTGATCGTGACAGATAAAATTATTACAAGTTATTTTCAACCAAACAATGTTGTCGTGTGACTTTTCAACGCAATGTTATTGGCGAGCAATATTTCCAAATCACTTTCCGTTCAGCTGGATTGCAAAGTAAGAACTGAAAATAGATTATTTTTAATCTGTGACACAGATGTTACAGTTTGTTTTTTTCATATGTGGTTTTAAAGCAAGTTCCTGTCTATGATTTCTATCACATGAGCGACATCTGCCGGCTTTGGTTAAAAAAAGAAAATTCTTAGAAATCATAACTAGAGCGCCGGTTTCATTTGAACCTGAAACTCCCTGTAAGAATTGGAAGTCAAAACATCTGTAGCAGTATGAGTGTTGCAGAAAGTTAAATTATTTATGTAGAGTGACATTTGTTGGGAGGGTGTGTGCTGGTGTGAGTTGATGTAACGCTTCCATATCTTTTATTGTGAACCGTCCATTTGTTTACAAAAATAATGTAAAAATGAAGAGACATATTGATATTAGTGATGTTGATCGATAGTTAGTCGTTATCGACTAAATGCTTTAGTCAGAAAAGCAATGTCTGTTAGTCGTTATGGATTCTCTTGATATGGCGAGATAATTTTTTATCCCTCAAGTCGTGAATTGTGACATTTTTAAGGATGTGAAGAGAGTTGGAAAACGAATCACAACTCACAACCCCCCACCCCACCCCTGCATAGCGAGGAATAACTCAACAGTAACCTTGACTGATTCGTATTTTTCGTTTTAAAAATAACTCTAATGGTCTGGAGATGACGTGAACACGTCTTTAACGACTTTGATACGGAATTGTGGACAGATCAGACAACAACCGATGGTTTCTGGCAAAAGGAAGTAAAAGATATTTTCAAACGTGACTTTGTATTCCTAGAATTACATGTAATTCAAAGATTCAAACATATCAAGTGTCTTGATAAACCTCAGTAAGGAGATTACTTAAGGCCTCGGTCATTCCGGGAAAATTCCCAGCGTTATTGTTTTTATAATTAGTAAACTAATTCATTATTTGATCGATAATTAAATGAAGCATTATCCTAGACTTCATTTTTTTTTGTTAGTAGACTAAATCATTTGATCGACAATTAAATGAAGCATTATCTTGGACTTTATTGTTTTTATAGTTAGTAAACTATTCATTTGATCGACAATTAAATGAAGCATTACCTTGGACTCGTATTGAAACCGAAAGGAACTTGAAATGTAATATCCATTACTGCTTTAGTTAGAAATGCAATGTCTGATCTCGATTTATATTTAATTCAAATACGTCCGCGAGATGTCCGGAAACCGAAGGAATTTCAACTGAGTCGTCATTACTTTTTTAAAAGGAACAGTGAAGCACTCGTCGAAAATGAAATTTCCGTTACAGAACTCGAGTTGGCTTTTCATTAGTTATTTCGGGGAAAGATATAATGAAATGTGAAGTACTCACGTGATTTCAACGGGTTTTTTCCCTTTCTTATCAAATTGTTTTATATATAGTTGAGGCAACGTTAAGCTTTTGCAAACTGAATCGTACAACGCAACATGAACTACATTAAGGAAGAATTGACCTTTGAATGTTCGGAAGTTCTTTCAACTTCCATGGATGAGGAGAAGAAACTCGTTTTATCTGAAGACGAAATTAAGAAATTGCGACTTGCGATGGAAAAACTGGATGAATTTCAGCAGCAATGCCAAGAGGCTCTGGTAAGAGATAACATTGAATAGTTGTGAAATTCAGCTTATTACATTTGCATTAGACTGTGAGTACGGTTCATGTTTTGAATTATAATATTTAAAGTTGTATTTTGTCATAGCAGTAGGGCAGAATGAGTTTGTGGTTTTTTCGATGGGATTAGTTTTTGTATGCCTTGAGAAAATTTCACATGCAATTTGATAAACATGATCCTTTCAAAATTGGCTCTTACGAACGGCTGACGTTGGAAGCATTCTATATTAGCTTTAGAAACCCTTTACGGATGCCAAGATACATTGATAAAACTGACCAAATTATCTTCTCTAGAAATAGTCAACTTTCAGTTGGTTTATTTTTAAGAAACTGACACATGCGATGTTTTCGCTGTGGAGTTCACCTTTTATCGGACAGTTAATGTTTGAATTACAATCAATAATAAATAGGTTCAACATTTTGTTTTCTTTTAGGAGCAAACACTAGAGCATCATAGACTTGACTCTGGTAAGGTTGAAATGATTCAATTGGATGAACTTGCCCAAGTCTTATTCGAAAGGGTAGGTGCAGGTATCATTTGATTAAAGTTTTTTACGTCGTGTTTTACATACTAGCCATCCATGATGCTCCAACCGTCAAACGTGACGGAACTGATTTCGGACGGGAGATTCCCTTACGTGACCAAACTAGGATGCGTCATTCATTTCCCTATATCGGTTTCGGTTTCGCTTGTTGAAGGGAAAGTTTGAAAGATGTATAAACGAACGACTTGGTAGAAAAGAACTTAAAACTTGATGTAAGGAATATAATTAACAGTTTTACTCCTATAGAGATGGCCCGTCAGATTAAGTATCCAAAACAAAAGAGAGCGCCTGTCGATTTTCACCCACGCCTGTTAAACTTGAACCCCTCTATAAACAAATCATCTGCGCTTGTAATTAATGAGTCTTTTCAAACTATTTATCTTTTCTACAGGCACAATTAGACAAGACTGATGTGCAAAAAATGGAGGAAGACCTTAACTTGTTCCAGATGTTTAAGGCAGCCATTAAACTGGTGACTGATAGTGTGATGGATGAAAATGTGCAGCAACTGAGCGATGACTTGGAACATTGGCTTAATGCCATCACACCAGTCATGATTAGAGTGGTAAGAAAATTTCCTTTATTATTTTTCCAGCAAATGTTGTGCCCTTATTTGCTTCACTCTGTTTTGATAGATTACTAATCAGTGTGATGTAATATTATCAACTGAGTTGCTAACATAAATTGGCCACCATAAAGAGTTTCGAGCGTCAGCCCTTCGTCATTCGCTCTACGATGGCCAATTTAAATTATCAACTCAGCTGATAATACTCAATTACCCTGTTATACTCTCCCACCGACGCAGCACCACAGTTTCTTTAGAAACTTACCCCCTTAAACAATCAGTGTGATTTACTCCTTTTCTCATTTGATTAATCTTGTCTTACCTATATCCATACTTTTTCCAATTTTTTTTTCTAAAAGCTTCGGAGTAATGGCATTTCACCTCCAAAACCGCCACCGTCTGAAGACTTACAGGAGAGACTGAATGAACAAATCAAAGATTCCTTAAGGGTAAGTTTTTGCTCTGCGATAGAAATATAATATATTTCCTTGCAATGCTAGGGTGAACACAATACTACTCCAGCGTAAGGCAGCATAAATATTCTTTGATAAGTTTAAATTTAAGAAGTTCGGTGTTTAGGAAGTTATTAAGTTATGAATGCGTTCAGCCAAAGTTCCAGTCACCTAACATATATTTTATTATATTAAGATGTTCTAATCTCTTTATTCTACACACACTAAGGGAGCTCACCAAACATTCAATGTGCAACGCATTTAAAACCACTTAACCTGAAAGTTTCCTGTCGCCCATTGTAGGAATTTGTCTGTGCAAACGACGAAGAAAACGTGGAACGCCCTCTTACGAACGCAGAAGAAACAGATAGTTGCAAAATTAACCCAAGAACTGTTCGTGACGTCAGAAATTACATCACTGTAAGGGATTTGGGTGATCTGTTGTTCCTTTTTAAAGGAGATTTTGGTCATGTGACCAGACACAGTTGATAGCCTCTTAGGAGAGACAAAAAAAGAGACTTAATGTTGAATTATGATATATGTACAGAGAGAGCGCGTGGATTTCAATATATTGTTATTGTTATTTTAAGAGACATTGTAATATATAATTCAGTCCTGCATTTTTGAATTTGTATCACTAATATGATGTTACATAAAATTTGAATCATTGGATAAGCAATAAAAAAAATTATTTTAATTTACACTCATGTCCTGTAAGTGTTACCAGGAACTTGTCTCTGTTTTCTCGGCCATTTAGTTGCAATAATTTTTATGAACTTGTAGTAAACTTCTCAAGCTGATCTACTTTACTACACGCGAATGACTGTTGTCAGTCTTTTGGCCCGACCATATTTATCGCAAGGGCAATGTAACTGAAGCAAGCTGACAGTGCCCATTCTTTTATGTAGAGTGGAAGCTAAGATGTCAACGGTCATACGACTGTAAGAAGTGCGAATGGAATTTCTTTGAGGCTTTCCATAAGAAATTGAAACAGTGTAAGCTTCAAGAGCCTTGTCTAGGTACGTGATTAGTTTGTCACCCTTGAAGAACTCTGGCCTTCATGGTCACGCAATCATAACCTTTGTCAAAACCAAGGAATGTGCGGTGTTATCCGAACTATTTTATCATCACTAAAAATACGTCAATCAAAACATTACCAAAACATCGAGGTATTGAAGTTTAAAATAGAAACTATTTCTATATACGATACAGACAGATATCAAATTTTTAAAAACGAATAGTTTGTTAAAGAAAAATGAATTTTATTTATCTCAAAAAGACCGCTTGTTGTCAGATGAAAATGGGACTGTTACTTGTTGAGATCTGAAGTCGGTATCAGTAAAAAAGACCCTCAAGCTTCGTGGTCGTCTTCATTCAAACTGATTGTACACTTGTCACTCGTCATACCGACCTGCCTATTACAAGTTCCAGACAAATTTAATCTTGACCTTAAATACTCTACCAATGTAATAATAATAATAATAATAATAATAATAATAATAATAATAATAACAACAACAATAATAGTATTTTTTAAAAAGTAGTAACCTAATAATAATAATAATAATACATTTTTTTAATATAAACTTGATTAATTTAAAATCTGTTAAGGTCTCATTTCACATAGTTATTTCATTCTAATGATTACATTTTATCGACTACAATCTGTTATTTCCTAATCCTATCCTTGACTACTTCCAAGTATTCTCCAAAAAAAAGCAAAAACAACAAAAACAAAAACTATTCTCTAAATCCTGCTTGTTCTTTTTCGATCTCAAAGTCACAATGTTCAATGTTCAGAGGGACACGCGTAGTGGTGCGTGGACCTCTTAGGCAAAGTAAGGCGGAGCTTAGTACAGCGAAGGACACTTTTGAACGTATCCATGAAGTCGTTGTGCTGTACTCCTCTCCTTTCTTAATAGATATGAGTTCCGCTAATCTACTGTGGAAACGCTTGCATTCGTCCGCCATGCCTCCGGTGGTAGTGAAGAGTAAAGGTGTAAAAGTCCCTCGTTCAACTTCCAAAACCTTGTTGGCGTATGGCCTCTTCTTCTCATATTCATGTTTGCGATAAATCTGCTGAATGTTGAGATCTTTGTAAGACTCTGCGTTTGGGTGAAAAACCCTTACGTCGAAAAAGGCAGAGCATTGCCCATCCCAAAACCCACGAGCGTGAACATCCAATCAGGCATCCTGTGCTGGGTTCGTACCCCTCGTCAGCAATTCTCCCGTTATCTCCTGGAGAACGGGTTCCACTTGCGCATCGTGGCAAACAGTGTTTAGCAAATCGGCTTCAAGATCACACAGCTTGTTATGCCTCTGGATGATGAATCCTCCTCGTCTGCACACCATGGCATGATCCACCGTATAATAATAATAATTGTAATAATAATTATAATATTAACAGTAATAACAACTTTATTTAAAGAGGGTAACACACAACAGTAATTCAAGTGATGAATTAGTGGCCCTGGATTTTCCCATAAGACTGAGAACATTTGTGACTCATTCGTTTCCATGTGTTTGAAAACGTGTCACTGCAGAGGAAATAGCTTCCTCACAATCTGTGAAGCTGTTGTGAAAAGGGGAACCGAGCAGCGAGTAATTGTCTAGAGTGGTGACGTCACTTCCAAACCTCTCTCAAACGGCGAGGTTACACAATAGTTCCTTCGTGAACGAGAAAAATCGGAGAAATTAGCAATAGACTGAGTTTGCCTGTCACTAGAGGAGGATTCCAGGATGAAATTATACGCATTAAGTGTTGTTCGTAAAGATATTAAGTCAAAAGCATTAGTTTCAGCATACGATCTTCAATCCTTTGGATATTTTCAGCGTTCAAGGTAGGTGTTATTTTCATAATTTATCCTCTGAAGGCTGTATTCGAAAGAATTTCCAATTTCATATGTGTGCATCAGAAGTTACACCAATAAAACCTAGACTTTTCTCCTTGCGTCTTTCTGTTTAATCATTATTCTTTCGTAGTTAATTGTTTTATTTTTTTCGTAATCTATCAAACTATTTTTAAATCAGACGAGCCTGACTCAGTACAAGTAGCTAATTTGCTTTGATCAGGCAAGGTAGAAACCGTGAAAACATGCTTGTAGTGGTTTACATGAAATTTTATATGGATCAGTGACCAGGAAATCATTTTTGAAACGTGTGAACTGATCTCTTTTCAATTAACAAATCTGGGAAGTATAGAGTTCCTTGGTCTGACGATTTGTATTTTTTAGCATCATGATCAAAAAATGAGCGATTTCTTGAGACTAATAACTGTAGTTAAACACATTACAATCATTTTTAGGCAGAATGACTTAATTTTTTTAAATAGTACACTGGTATTGTGACTGTCCTACTCTTGGTACATGGAGCCTCCTCTCCCCTCTTGGGAGAAAGGAACATTGACTGATTCTTGAATCAATACTAAACTTTCTGTTACCCTTAAAGTTAATATGTCACAGTTCAAATTTGCCTACACCTCCTTTACCAAATATACCTAAGATGGACTAGTATATCTTACAATTTTGTAGATTTAAAGTATTATGCTGGATAATTATACTCAGTTTTTTTCAAGAGTCCCTTGAGTGTCAGCTCAGTAAAGGTTGTGCTGGAAAATTAAGGTGAATTCAAAGTACACACACTATGCACTTGATTTTTCAGTGTGAAAGAATTTATGCAGTTTACTGGCCAAATACTTGTGGAAAGAACAAGAACTAACGAGAGAGCCTCGGTGAAAGAAAATGGTAGGTTAAGATTAATCAGAGAGGATAATCCTAGCCTTTGTTAAATCATAAGCATTTGGGGTTTGGGTGATGAAGAATTTGTTTAATAGGAGATGAACTTTATTCGTTTGTCTTGTGATGGAGTCATTTTGGATGTTGATCAATATCCAAAGTGACTCCATTGTGAGACAAATGAGTAAAGTTCATCTCCTATCTTACACCACAATGAACAATAACCACATATTTTATAATATAATTTGTTTAATAATGATTATTTTGAGCACAGAACAGTAAATCTCCTGACCATGTGAACCACTAAGCTTTTTTTAATACATTTTATGTAGCATAGTGGTGTGGAGGAGGGCAGAAAAACACATAGATCACATCAGTTTCTGTCATGGGTCTTGACTCACACCTTTTTCATCTAGGCTAATAGCTCAGTATATCTTTGATACAAGTTTCTTGAAAGGCTAGCAAATTTGTTGGCACAGTCCTAGGTTTGTAATGATTTTTATTAACAATTAAATGAGCATTGTTTTCCCTCCGACATACATTTTGGATTCTTAATACAATGAAATTAATAATAAAAAAGAAGATTGTTTTCCCTCTGACTTAAATTTTGGATCCTTAATACAATGAAATTAACGATACATTCTTTTATTTAAAAAAACCAGGAAAGATTTATTACTCGACGTTTCGGGGTCATCGTGACTCCATTATCAAGAGACTAGTTTAAAAACATGCAAATAAGGAAAGGTACAAGAATAGCATAAATTAGAATGAACGGCTTAAACAAACACCTTGGCGCGGATGGAATCCGTTTGCACGTTCAGTGTTGGCTTACGCATGCGAATATACAACATTTCTTTAACAAGGCAATCAAGTAATTGCGAGTAATTGTAGGTGTTAGTAGCAGAGAGACAATGTAACGGCAAATTTGATTGCCTTGTTAAAGAAATGTTGTATATTCGCATGCGTAAGCCAACACTGAACGTGCAAACGGATTCCATCCGCGCCAAGGTGTTTGTTTAAGCCGTTCATTCTAATTTATGCTATTCTTGTACCTTTCCTTATTTGCATGTTTTTAAACTAGTCTCTTGATAATGGAGTCACGATGACCCCGAAACGTCGAGTAATAAATCTTTCCTGGTTTTTTCTATGCCTTTGCTTTAGCAAATCCCTGCTGATCAAGTGTTCTTTTATTTAGACAGATTAATAATATTTTGTCCTTGTGCAACCCTTATAAATCCTGTATCAAAGGGACTCTAGACTAAAACATTTCAAACTTTTTACTGCCCCTACACAGGTTGTCCAACACAGGCCTTTTATGGATATTTTTATTTATGTACCTTTTGTTTTTGCAGAGTACATTTGTCACGTCTTTGTGAGATCAGATTCTCTTGGAGGAGTTATTATTTCTGACAATGAATATCCACAAAGAGTTGTTTTTACCTTGTTAAATAAAGTAAGCGTTCCATTGTCAGTAGGGAGAGACATGTTTGGAGTTATGTTTGTATTACATTGATAGTGTGTATGTATGTGTAGCCAGCACAAAGCTTGGCTTAGTGATAACCTCTGAACATTTTCAGCACTCTTTCTCTCTATAGGTTAACTCTTTCAGACATTCTCTTTTTACCCAGCTTCCCTATTCTATGATTTTAAAAAATTTATATATGATTTTAAAAATGCACTCTGTTTGAAAGGAAGCACAATGGAGGAGGTTTTTTGCATTCCTGTTTTTTTTGTTATTGACTCTTAGTAATTTACCCTAGAAGTGTTAAGTTACTGGAAGTCCACTGGATATTTGCTCTTTTATTAATACAGTGGAACCTTCATCCAGGGGACACTCTAAGGACTTAAAAAATTGTTCCTCTTAAGATGTTAACATATAAATAAAAGTTGTTCTTTTTTAAATGTGCAGCCATAGTAGAAGTCCTTAGAGCTAATGACCTTCTGGTCACTTTCATCAGACTCCAGATTTGTTCTTAATTCTTAGTTTGTAGTCTGCAATGTAATGTGTTTAGTTACATGTACAACTGATAATAATGTTGTATGTTTTAACATTTTATTCCATTTTCTAATGCAAAATTTAAAAGGTTTTAGAAGACTTTTCTCAGAAAATATCCCCATCAGTTTGGAAAACAGCTGAACCAAAGTAAGCGCTTGTTAAATATGTTTGATTTTCAGGCATTGTAGTGAGTGTATGCTGCATTGAATGAAACATTCAGTGCTGTATTTTAACAATAAATCTTCTTGTAATGCTTATGGCTTTGATCAGTGATATGGTGTGGAAGGATGATTCCATAATACGTCCTTGTGAAATTGAAGTCAGTTAATGTTTGTCATAGGTCAACATAATTAATAATATTTAGTTTTTTTTACAAGGGGCTGAACACAATTAGACCCAAAGGAAAGTTTCATCCTGTATGATGTTTCTGATGTGTTTAACTCTTGTCAATTTCTAGTACAATAGTCTGGCCAGAATGTGAGAAATATTTGCAAGATTATCAGGTACACAGGTCTTGATTTTATAATGGTTACATGTAGATCATATTGTAAGGTGTGAGTCTTTTGTCAGTTTACTCTCTTTGCTGGAAATCATTCCCAATGTCAAGAAAGGAATCCTTTTCCTTCGGAAGAAGTTTCTACACTATGGCTTTGGGGATTGAAAACAAGAAAAAAAAACAAAACAAAAAAAAAAACTCGGGAACTAAATAATCTAAATTCTTGACGAGTTTTGGCTTTCTTGACAAGTTCATCTTAAGTATGATATTTATTAATTGTTGATTGCAAACAAACCAAAGAAAAAGGAAAGTATATAAACTTGTTTGTAGATATGTTGATTCACTTGATTTATGCATTAAAAACTCTTTAATTTCCAGAAGTAATTAATCTGTAACTTTTCATTGTGATTCCAATATTTTATCCTGCTAACAAGTTATGAGAACAGACATGGTAATCAGCTAGCAGGGGTTATCTTGATGTAACACCAATTCTCTAGCCTGATTTGCTTACTTGAAATATGATGAAGTAGTATTAGACATAATCTTTTTTAATTATTGCTACAGAATCCAAGAGAAGCTGATGCTATGACTAAAGTACAGGCAGAACTGGATGAAACAAAGATAGTTTTAGTAAGTGCTCCACACAAATTTGTTTTCACTACTGGCAATTTGCTGAAAGGACTGCTCCAGCTTTGGGGCCATTTTAGTATTGGTAGTAAGGAGATAGTGAGGGTTTACTTATGAAGCATAGTGATGCAACCTCTGGGTAGAAAATGAGGGAGTGACTTACAAATACATGAAAATTTGGAATGTTTTGCTTTTATGTAAGGACTAGAATTGTGGTTTAAAAACTTAGTAGGTCAAAGAAAATTTTCAATACAGTATATGTGGTTGTAAGATTGTTACTATCAACAGACAACTAGTGCAGATTTCAAGTGATCCTTATCTGCCTGCTGCCTTATGACTAGATCATGGCTTCTTTTAAGCTATTCTCAGCCCTCTGTTGTTACATTTTCCTTCAATTGTTGCCCCCGCAGGGTTTTTGGCCCCAGAGGGCCAAAAACCCGAGGAGGCACCTTAGGACTCCCCGCGTAATATAGAGGAAGACTGGAGAAGAGGGAATGTGGGTATTTTCGGTAGATCATAACCAGAAAAAATCTCGATTTGATCGCTTGCACGGCCGCAAGGTATCAACGTTTTTCCCACAAATGGTCATGGGCTGCCAGTAAAAAGACACGCGCGCGAGGACTTTTAGGATCGGCGTCTTTGACACAAGATTTGTCCTAGTATAGAGGAAGACTGGAGAAGAGAGAATGTAGGTGTTTTCGGTTGATCGTAACAAAAAAAAATCTCGATTTGATCGCTTGCACGGCCGCAAGGTATCAACGTTTTTCCCGCAAATGGTCATAACTACACAACTGTAAACAACAAGCCCAACTCAAAAAAAAAAAAAAGAAAATGGTACTGTAGGGCGGGGGCAGCTCTAGTGAGAACTATAACTAGTGTAAAAGTATATTTCATCCAGTTGTGAGTAGTCTTAACAAGGACTATTGTTAGTATCAGTGAGTGAGTCGAATTCAACTAAGGATTTATTAGTCAATCGTTTCAAGTTTATTTCATCAAAACAGATTGGTCAGTTTTGTCACAATATTATTGTCTTTAAGATTAATTAAAATCGGTTTATTTAATGTAAGGTTGGTCAGATCCTATCATTCAAAGTTCATTCAAAAGGGTGCAGTCATTCTGTATTTGTCAAGAATAAGTTGTTTATGCTAAATGACTACTCACCTTGGCCCAGTAGTTTAAAGGGTGGATAATGCTATCCAGATGATAAGTGTTAACAAAAGTACTGCACTATCTAATGGATAGCAATATCCATTCTGGAACAACCAGAGCCTGAATGATAAGACTACATAATCAAATGTTATTATAGAGTTAAAGCCATACACAATGAGACACTCTTTAGAATTATTACATTAGATTCTGCAACATTTTCAAATCAACTATAACATCTGTTGGACTTTAATTGCCCTTCCTTGTTGAGGTGTAGGTAAATTTTGCCTAAATCAACTCATGAAATTTCATCACTATCCCCTTAATATTTGCCATCCATTTATTTACAGCACAACACAATTGAAGCTGTGCTAGAGAGAGGAGAGAAACTTGATGATCTTGTAGAAAAATCTGAAGGACTAACCATGCAGTCAAAAGCCTTCTACAAAACAGTGAGTCATTTCACAAAACTACTAGTGCCTTACCAAACAGTTTTAAACAACAGCCGCAATTTAAGTTACTTCATTGCTGTCCCACATGATTGGACTAGAAACTATTCTTCAAAACAATTTGAGGGTAATTAGTTGCAAACAACTAAGCTTTGTAGCAGTATACAGAGAGACCACAGACAAAAGTTTGTTTATGTTGGTAATAGGATTAGGATAATAAGTTTCCATCTATTAAGTTATTGCTTAAGTACAAACCAAAAAGTCACCCACCATAGCCTCATGACCCTTCCATTAATTCTACAATTTCTGCACTATTCAGTCCAGTGATAAATATTATCATTCATTATTCTACAATTGCATGATTTTACCATAAAAGGCATTTTAACATGCAAAATATGCCCTAATATTGCACTGTAGAACTGGGCAAATAAAAAAATAGAAAGTAGAGCAACAAAATGGCTGCACTGAATGGTTTGAACTCTACTTTTTTCTGTTTTTGTAGGCTTAGCCTTTCAACCTTCAAATCTTTTAAGCATTTCAGATTTTTTTGTTGGCCATAATCACACTTTTGTGGTAAAGCTCAAGTTGTCTTCTGTCAGTCACACATGCCTTGTGCTTTGGATTCAATGTTTACACAAGGCCCTAAGATGTATATTGAACACTAGAAGCTAATTGAAAATACTGAAAATTGAAATAATAGAGGAATAATAAATACCTGATTTGATGGTTGAACTTATAATACAAGCTGACATTTCACTCCCAGAATATCCCTTTATATTATATGTTAAACAGTCTTACCAACATACCACTTCTATCCAACGTAGGGAATTTTTTTTATCTCTGTTCAAACAGGCAAAGAAGACAAATTCATGTTGCAGTATACAATGAATAACAACAAGGAATTGTCACAGAGGATTATTATTTTTGTACATAGATAGTGTTCTAGGACTTCTGGGACTGAACAGAAATTGTTTCAAGGGAGAAATGTGTAGCTATTAATTGAAAACCTTCACTAGAGTTTAGGTCATCAGAAACTCAGCAAAGCATTGACCATGTGATTGCCTCACTCCTCCTTCCCACTCACCTCCACCCTCTTGACAAACAGTAAGGCAATTATCATTTAAAGAAAAACAATACAGACTTGAAAGAAATGTGTATATTTCAGCCGTGCTATATGCAATACCACAACTTATTTTGTAAATCTCAGTGTTTCCAAAAGTAGTAATGGGATAATGGGAGAATAAATAAAGTTCAAGTTGTTATGTACAACTAAAGTATGAACACAACCATGTCCAAGTTAGTTGATCGTACCTCACTCTGTACTCAGAGGCAAAAAAAAAAAAAAAGAAAATGCATTTTAAGTTTGTTCAGTTGCATAGCTTTGCTTAACATTGCAGCATGAAACAAGAAGAAGCAGTAATTTCAAAAACATTTATTGACATTGTATTATCAAGTACAGAGTATTATGGCCTTACAAAATTAACATCACACAACATAAAGGAATAAATTGGCACCAAAAGTTTGACAAAATGTCATGAATGGATACTCCACATCCCTCCACAATCATAAAAAGATAGATGGCCCATCTAAAACAGTGGAACTGAAACAGAAAGTAACCACAAAAGCATTCATTTTAAACCACCAAAAAAAAAATAATAATCAGCACTGTACTCCCTCTTGTAACTTCTGTACCTATCCATCAAATAGCCCCCCTGGAGCAGGTGCCCTAAACACTATCAGATAAGCAACATATTGAAAGCAAATTTGGAAAAAGGTTTTGGAAAAGAAATCACAAGTGTAGTCGTGGGAAAGTTGATTTATATTGGTTGCTTCATTAAACATAAGAGAGAGTAAACTTGCTAACAGTGAAAACAGAGAATTCTTTGAATCATTACTTATAATTTTAGCTGTAATAGATGAAACACTGTTTTTCATATAAAGGGCCCTTTAAACTTCGTACCACCTTCCCTTCAAGGGAGACTTCAAATTCATTTCAAAAACCTAACCAACCTTTAGCAGCTTCAGCTTTCCTGATTGCCTCAAGCTCTGCTCTCTCATTGGCCCTTGCAGCTTCTTCTTCTCTCTCACGAGCTGCTATAGGTTTGAGGTACTCTGAGGAAATGGTAAAAAAAAGGGTTGAGTGATAATTTTTTTAATGGGTGATTAAAACCTAAATTAACAATAAATACTGTTGAAAACTCTGCCCTTATAATCCAATTTGAAAGGGTTAATATAGGCTTTTAACAGAGCTTCCATTAAGCTTAGAGCTAAGGGGGCTTTGTATTGCATAAACAAGTGCACTAAAAACATCTGTGACGCCGTTAATCAAAGGGTGCTTTACATTTGCTGGTTTTATTTAACCTTCAAAACTGTCACAATGAATCAAACTTAACTCAGCATTTTAAAATAAAATCAAAACTAGTGACAAAAATGAAATAGGACATCACCAAAATAGAAACAAAGACTTTTCCCTAAGATTACATTTAATCTTCTTGTGGTGTTAATGTTGATAATTCCTGAGTGATCTAGCTGCCTGCTAGCTTTTAACTTTACATAGTCTTGTTAGCATCATTGTCTGACTCATCCCTCTTAAAAATCCATAATTATTGACTATTGCCACTCATAACAAACAAAGCTAGAGGGGGGGGATGAAACATTGGGGGGGGATAGGGGCTTACAATTGGATGTAATTTTGGTTTACAAGACAATGGGCCTGTATTGAAGGCTTTTGTAACTTTTGGGCAGGGAGCACAAAAAAGAATGAGCCAGTAAGAACAGTTGGTACTGTACTCCGTGCTTTAACAATTTATATGATCAAAGTAAGAAGGAATTCCAATACGTGTAAAATAAAAATATTAAAGAAAATTGGGATGAAAGGTTTGAAGGTATAAAAAAATTATAATTACTACAAATTTGGGATTAACTTTTACCCATGAATGATATTTAGACAATTCAAATCCAAGAAATTCAAAATCATTGCAATATGTATTGTTCCTACTACTTAACCATTTCTTCTGTATCCATATGCCACACCAATGAGAAGAGCAGCATATCTTGAAAACTGTTATATTAATAAAAAATATATTAACATAAATTGATGACTGCTCAAAATATCTCTAAACGGATTGAAGTTTGCAATGTTTCTATTCCTTCACTGAACACAGATTATACACTACACTACACTGCCAGAAGAGAGAGAATCAAGAAAGAACGTGATTATATTTAATAATACCAGACATAGAGCAAACTGTTTCAACCAATAATACACATAATACTCACATAAAACCATTCAAAACGTTGATCACTTCTTGAAGAAGCAAGTCTCCATTGTGACAATATTGTTTAATCATTACAACACAAAATCTGAACTATCTTAACTATTGGCGTGAACTAGTTTCATACAGGCTTAAACTACGCGTTCACGAACTCCCTTCGATAAGAGCACATCAAGGTAACAGATTCGATGATTACGACTTACCCGAATCGCTGGATTCACATTGACCGGCATCTTTACCCCAGTTACGACGAGAAAACTCCGCTATTCCAAGATGGCGCCTGTCCAAGCAACAGATAACCCAAGATGCATTGTACGAGAGGAAAAGATAAGATGGAGACTGGGGACCAGAAAGGAAAATGGCTCTTGCCTAGGCTGTACCCGAATGCGGATGGAGTAGGACCAAGATAGTTTGGGACTAGGGTTTGAGATTGGCCCCGCATAGCCGCGATCCATCATGATAACTAATTTGAGAGGGATGCTGCGGAAGGTAATTACCCACATACACTCTGTTTTTTTTAGCTACCGCCTTTTTAAATGCATTCTCGTGCATTGATATATAAGAAAGAGGCCTTCTCCCACTCGAAATCATATAGCCTGCGGTAAGTTTTGCAAGTTCCTTGAGTCGGCCTTGTTTCCACTTTGTTGATGATAAAAAATTGAGCTTTTCCACGGATGTCGTGTGTATAAAACTATACTTATCACAACGGCTAATCAAGAAAGGACAATTTCAAAAGAAGCCAATGAAAAATCAGAGGAAACGAAGAAAACAACCTTAAGCGGGAAAACGCTAGTGCTGAGCCAAGTCGCCATTTAGTTTTCCATTTGATTAATAGAGAAAGTAGCATCATATTTTTTGACCAATCATACATCAACTAAATGTTACTGCACTGCAAGCCATTCACAACTCACAACACCATTTGCCACATGGTCAAAATAATTATTTAATGAATACCAAAGAAATATTGCAATGTTCACACTTCACAACTTAAGCCTGCTTATAAGAGACGTCAACGTCAGCAGGATAATTCGTACAGAATGGCAAAAATACTTTAGATAGATATCAAAATACTCCTACATTGTATCAAGCGTGCTCACTCCTTAAAACCGGTGGGGGGGGGGTGGTGGTGAAGAAAATGAATCTCAAGATTCAAAGCATTAAAATAAACACTTATAACTGTGTTATAAGTGTTTATTTCAATGTTACTCATTTATTTGTCTGTTCACACGTCGGCGTCCCTCAGAGATTTTGTTTCTTTGGTTAATCTTCTCCTATCTTTTTTCATTTTTTTAAAAAGGTTTTTAGAACTTTTATCGAGAACCGATTAAGAATATCCGAACGGTAATATAAATACGTCTTAAACTAAATAAATATATTTCAAATCAGTCACTGAAATAGTAAACTATCGGTAACAGCCATGTGCAATTAAATCGTCAACAGATCATTTCAGTTCAGAACCAACACACTTGATAAATCAACAGCTGCCCTTTTGCTTGGAAAATATATCAACAGGAGGATGGCCATCTGACTGAGAGTTCTGTCTCGTGATTTCTTCGTTTATATCTAACAAGTAACGGTCTATGAATGTTCCCAAAACTAAGGGTGAGTTAAGGAATAACCTTGAGTTTTCTCTGCTCAACACGTTTGTTGCCCTGTCACACAAGACCTTTTTTCTAGCAATGTGTAAGAAATCTATATTTTCTCTAAGAAAAATAAAACATTTCAAGGTCACTCTGTCACGATAAAGCTTCCAAGCATTGAAACTCAGTAGTAGTTGTTGACTAGCAGCTATTCCTATACACAAGTGGGTTTACATTGCAACATTAAAGGATACGTGGATGATTGTAATCCTTGTCTCCAGTAAGACTGACGTAATGTAGGCCATTGTAAAACCAGCCTGGAGGCAGTGGATCAAACTTGTGCTTGGACTAAGCATGAAACAACAGTGATTTTTAAGTAATGAATGCAAATCAACAAAGCTTATCATCTCACAATAGCTGCTATTTATATATCACGACACTACAGAACGCAGGAAATACAGATAAAAGAGTTTTATGACGAGAAAATAAACTTTTTCAACCGAAGTTCCTATATTGGTACACTATTTAGTGCCGCATTCTGTACTCAACGTTTAATGGCTCCATATAATGGCTGTATGTTACAGTAACTGACCAACGCTATAGGGTGTGGTCTGAAAAGAATCGCAATAACAGATGCACCGCACTCTTTCACGCGGTTGAGTCATGCTGAAAATCTGTGGTTTGGAGAAGGAACAAGGAATGTTCTATGCTATTACCAAACACTTGGATTGACCGTGGCCTCATCACCGTACTTACCCCAACGTTGGCTATTTCTTTCTCTGACAGATCCTCGCGCGTTTTTAACTTCTGTTTCCCTGGTGCCTACAACCAACATGTTTTGTTCTGTAAATGAAGACTACGGGCGATAACCTACACTGGCTATGAAAATGGAGTGTCTATCACAGCCAGTCGGTCTGGTCTGACGTTATAAAGGAGATTGGTTGAAAAGAAAACTAACAGAGAAAGCTTCATCAGTCTTAAAACACACATTTCTTTCCAAAAGTTTACTCGACAATACACTTGGAAGTGTAACAGGGAGTTCTCCACCGAACTTTCGACGCGATTTGATCCCGCCTACTTCCACACAGTTTATGTTAATCTTTGACCCAAAATAGACAGAAACCTGTCTTAAATTTCACTGACAATGCAATAAACACCCAAAAAAAAAATTCCAACTTTTTTTTACTGAAGGTCAAGAGTTTTGCGCACGTTGTGTTCATGAGTAGGGCGGCTAGATTTTCACAAACAAGTTTGCAGGCATCATAGTTGTACTGCGATAGTTAACATACCGGTTTACAACAGGTTTTGAGCCAGTCCTTTAAAACCTGTTCTTGAAGACTAAATCCAGTGAAAACGATAAAGTACTCGTGGATTCCCTCCACAGTGCCATTTTGTTGGGCCTTTGCTGAAGGAGGTTGCGGAATAGCAGAGCTGTCTACGGGGCTCATTTTTAGCAATCCATTCAGACGGGACCAGTGAACGTGTACCTTTTTATCAGGATCTTCTTCTGGCAGAAACAAAAAAAATTGAGAGAGCGTGATGAGGTAAGACAAAAGTTTTTGTATCGTTACACTGATTCAATGTTCAAAGAGAAAGAATGCATTGGCTCTGTTACCTGAGAAACAGGCATGCCCTTGTAGGCTGTGAATTGCCCCTATGATGGAAAAGATAAAATAATAGTGATATTAGACTAATAAGCTGCAGGGCAGCAAGAGAACAAAGTAAACCACCCAAGAGACTGAACCAACCTGTTGAATGTATCTCCTTGGATGATATGGGTCCATGGAGTGCTATAAAAAGAAGCAGTGAACTTCATGGACTGCTCAATGATTCATTAAGGTAATTATTAGTTGAAAAACAAATTGACTGAATTAACTTTGCTAAAATGTCCCACCTTTAAGGTTCGAAACAAATCTCTGCCTGCTTAGTGGTCCATAGAATGCCACACCAATCTATTAAAAGATCAAAATTTCCCTCAGCTAAGTTAAATATGTCCACCATGATCTATTCACTTTAACGTCAGATCGCGCACCGAGGTTAGCTTTGCTGATATCCAAAGTGTTTGCTGATTACAGCAGACACTCCTCGATCTCATTTATAAGCACACTACGGAATGTGTTTTTTCACATGCACTGTGAAACGTCACTGATCATAAAATCATCTAATTCCAACAAGTGCATTGTGATTTGTCAACGCGTAACTGTCTTAAAAAATACCTCGTTAATTTGCGGTTCTGTCATTCCAGTTGAAAACAAACCCAAAGACCTTTAGGATAAAAAGAAGCTAAAGTTGATATCTGTACAATAATTGATATTTCGACTTGAAGGTTTTAATCCATTTTCTAAGTTATAAACCTGTAATCTTTGCCAATGTCTTGATCCAACTATATGTCTGAAAAAGCCAAATGTCTTTCACTTTGGAGTTCTTTGATCTTAGATTGTCGACCAAACATGCACGAGAAGCGGCCATACAGTAGTAAACAGCAAAAAGCGAGTGACAATTGCACTACTGATAAAGGAAAAAAAAAAGCAACAGGAAAGAGAAAGGAAACAGCCCTCGAACCGTAAGTTGGTTGTCGCTATCTTAAGTAACTTACCAGCCGGGACACATTAGCTCTCTCTTCTGTACCATCCTGTCCTCGTCAAATGCACTGTCTGACAGAATTAACTCAACATCAGGTGTCCTATAAGCATACCACAAACACTATCAGCTGCGTTCAAACTGGCATGTAGCACAGAGCTGTAAGAGCTCTTTCTTCACCAATAAGCAGGAAAGCTATAGGCTACCTTGTAACTTCCCCTCCTTTAGCGAGAATAAAAGCCACATCCGGGTTACAAGCTCGCACCAGTTTCTGGACAAAGCTGAGCTGCTCATTCTAGAGAAAGACAAATTTGTAATATAGACTACGAACTTAGCATAAATAAGATCGGTTGCGTTAAATGTTTCAAAAGACGTAGAGGTTCTGAGGGAAATTTTACCTGAGGCTCCAAACAGCTTGTAAACACAACATTGTTAACCCAGCCTGTTCAAATAAGAAAATAGTACAAGAAAATTTTAACACATACTGGCGTTCTTGTAAAAAATGGAACAAAAACTTAGTTGGACTCGTAGATATGAGTCAATTCAGTAATTCCCTTTAATGTACATGTGTGGAAAAAGCCTGTTGTCCGACGCTCGAGCTAACAAAGAGCGCTTCTTTCATCCGGTCATCTTCAATTGCGAAATGTGTTGATAGAGTCTCTACACTCAGAACAATACATGCACATCGTAAGAACTGAATTTGTTTGTCACAAACCTTGAGCGCACTGTTCCAGTAGCATAGGCAATGTCAGTCTATTGAAAAAACAAACAAACAAACAAACAAACAAACAAAAGACTTTCCATGAATGTTTTTCAAGTTAGGAAAGAATATCACTCAGACGATATCTGTATCATGGATTTTCTCACCTGTGCTCCATAAAGGTATTAAGCGGGTCTACACAGCATGTGACAGCACCAATCTTGACACACTTGGACATCTCAGCATCAGGGTGGGTCCTTATGGCTTGAATAACCTCTGCTACATCAGTGAACCTTACAAACAATAGAAAGAGCTCATTATTCTCTGACAAACTCAACACTACTTCCCCCCCCCCCCATAACTTCACGGTATTACTCGGAGCGCCTTACCCTGGTGTGACCACAATTACTCGCAGTCGTCTACCGCTGGCTGAGAGCCTGGCATGCAGGCGTCGCTGACTTGACAAAGTTGTGGTCAGTGATTCTTGTAAAACTGAAACAATAAAAGAAGACAAAATTGAGAGAAAAAAGTTTCCTGATGAAGGACCAGGGCTAAAATCCCAACGAAGAGAAATAAAGTTAACGCAATAAGGCAATTTCAATTCGAAACAATAACGCTGTGCTCTCTTACTCACCCCACCCTCCCCTTCTTTTTCGCGGAAAAAGGATAGGTCCCGGATATACACGTCCATGCAGAACAAGGGTCTAGGTTCCCTTACAAACTACTCTGAAATCGCACTCTGAAGTCTTACTTTAACATTGTAATTAAAACCCGAAATCATTGTACTCTCTAATTATAAGAACGAGGCGAGGCCATTTCCCTCCATATTCGTCAAAAGATGACTTTCTTTCCGTTTGTTCCTCAGAACTGTTAGTTCCTCAGAAACTGTTAGTTCCGTATCGAGAGTGAAAAATTACCGACCAAAAATATCTAGACTGACAACACCAAGCCTGGCTTAAGATACTAGACAACACACCTTTAGGGTCAAAAGTATCTGAATTACTGACTGGCCTCTGTAAGATTATCCACCTGTCATAAAATAAGAACCGTGTTCATGATCAGTATAAATAACATACAGGTCCTCATGAACAGATTATAAACATTTAACATACTTGCTGTTTTCCTTGGCAAGTGCTACAAGAGCTAAACACAGAGACTCTTTACTGCTACCAGGGACACCAGTAAGGATGGTTAATAATAACTGAAAAACAACAAACAACGCAGCTGAATTAAAGTGAATCAATGAAACGAAGAGGATATAGTAATTCATCTTGAATTTACTTTTGTAGTGTTAAATCTTCAGCCTTTTTAACACTGAACGCCTGTATATCGTGTCCCGTATAAATCATAACCATTACAACTGGGATCCTACACGTACAAGTCCAGGGGATCTCAAATAACAACCAACTTTCCTTTACCTCAAAATCCCTTGACTGCCTCCCTTGTTCTACGCGCTTATTTCCTAGAATCACAGGTAAACCATCACACATAACAGGCGTGTTACCAAACGAACTGCTCACGGAGCAATGACACAGGAAACTGAAATAAAACGAGAAGAATAAAGTAATTGTACGTGATACATCACACCAGTGTTTAGTACGGTGCATCACATCAAGCAACTTGTACAAGAATTATCCTCACCCTTTTAAATTTGTTAGCAGGACTTCAGCTGTAGATAGATCCTGTATATTCGATCCTCTTGAAAGCTTTAACAAATGTTGCAAATTCACGTGCCTAAAAGAATTGATCAATCACTCATGTCACATGTACATGTTGTGGTTCAAATTTATCTTTGGTTCAAATTTTCTTTTCTTTTGTTTTTGGGGTATTGTAATGTATGATAATGAGATTGAAACAAAGGAAAATAAAATTTGAACCAAGGATAAAATTGAACCAAAACATACACATCAAAATGAAAGGATACATGCAATTCTCAAAAAATTCATACTCACTGTTCTTTTAAATCGTAGGGCAAATCTGAAAGCGCGTGAAAAAAAAAATGAAAAAGAAAAAGATGAGTTAAACCTCTAACTACTCAATGCCCAAATAGGAAAATGAAAAGAAACTTATCTCGGAGAGTGAGAAAGCCTATGATTATTGGAGTGAGCCTGAGTAAAACCTCTTTACCAAGCTTCAGAGGGAAATCTCTCTATCTTACCGTCAACAGTTTCAAATTGTGGAAAGTTTGGCAGCTGCCTTTCCTTCCACAGGCGGATCACATCAGAGTAAAATTGTCTGTAAATTCTGGAACGAGGCGTGAGAGCCAATAGCACATGACTCTGTTTGGCTGTAAGGTAATAGGGTAGACTTTCCTTTGAACTGGGATGATATGAAATGATCAGGAGAGCACAGGACGTGTCCTACCGCAAAGAAGTAAACACATATATTAGAATTCCTCACTCACAAGTCACTTTTCTGAGTTAGCAGTGGTATAAATAACTACAAATCAAAAGAGGCAACCAAAGGAACGTTCATTTAAAACCATACCTTGTCATAAAACTGAAGTTTAGATATCTTGGACGTTTGTAGCACAATGGAACCAGTTCTGGGATGAACAAACACAAAGCCTTGCTCATAGATAAACAGCGAACCTGGAAATCAACAGCACAGGCGTTGATATCCTTTGTATTTATTTTATACATGTATATCCGAGTAGAATTCATAATCTTAATTTAATTTAAGGTCAAGTACATTCAAAGTAGCCCCTTCAAAAGCATCTCACTTGTCATGGAAATAAAGAGAGTGATTTTATTTTCAATAAATCCTGTAAGTCTTTTGTCGAAAAGGAAGTATGTACCCTGGATCTCAAGAAATCAAGGGTCAAAAGTCAAACGTCCCTTTCCCAAAAGAAAACACAAGGCTTCATAATTATACATATATAAGAAAAGAATCTGAATTAACCTGTTTCCCAACTGTTCACCAAACTTGAAATAAAAACTTGGTTACCGCACAGTAACTGTTTTCCTAAAACATCGCTATCAGCTTTTGACTGTAAACAGAGAAATTAATAAACAGGATGTGTAAGATGTGTTTCTAATTATTTTGAGTTAACAATGAAACAACAGGAATCAAGTATACTAACCATGTAATCGTCTTCAGTTATTGAGATATGCATTTTCTTGTGTCAAAATGCTTTATTTTAAGTAAACATTTAAAAGTCATGCTGGTCAAAGTCACCTTGGCAAATGACTCAGTCTCCTCAGAAATCTGTCTGTCTTTGCCATACCCCTGGGAGAATAGAAAGCATATTACAATACTTTTTTGGCCACTCGCCGTCTCAAGAGAAGAGATAATCATAATACTATGGCCATGGCATGTTTAAAACACAGAAAAACTTAATATCTTATTATACCTGCCATGTAACAAATCTGGGGATGTTTTCTGTCAGGAAAACAAACGAGGTGTCCCATAAGTGTGACCCATCTGGAAAACAAGGAAATCATG